CATGCTGTGGGGATGTTTTTCCATCGGCAGGGAATGGGAAACTGGTCAGAATTGAAGGAATGATGGATGGCGCTAAATACAGGGAAATTCTTGAGGGAAACCTGTTTCAGTCTTCCAGAGATTTGAGACTGGGACGGAGGTTCACCTTCCAGCAGGACAATGACCCTAAGCATACTGCTAAAGCAACACTCGAGTGGTTTAAGGGGAAACATTTAAATGTCTTGGAAGGGCCTAGTCAAAGCCCAGACCTCAATCCAATTGAGAATCTGTGGTATGAATTAAAGATTGCTGTACACCAGCGGAACCCATCCAACTTCAAGGAGCTGGAGCAGTTTTGCCTTGAAGAATGGGCAAACATCCCAGTGGCTAGATGTGCCAAGCTTATAGAGACATACCCCAAGAGACTTGCAGCTGTAATTGCTGCAAAAGGTGGCTCTACAAAGTATTGACTTTGGGGGGGTGAATTATGCACGCTCAAGTTTTCTGTTTTATTGTCTTATTTCTTGTTTGTTTCACAAAAAATATTTTGCATCTTCAAAGTGCTAGGCATGTTGTGTAAATCAAATGATACAAACCCCTAAAAAATCCATTAAAATTCCAAGTTGTAAGGCAACAAAATAGGAAAAATGCTGAAGGGGGTGAATACTTTTGCAAGCTACTGTATGTCAAAGACATGAACAATACACCTCCTTATACAGAGTTGTGAGACTTACAAACACGCACATATAATATTAACTTTTGCAGACTGTGGTGACGATAACTTATCTCTGGCTGCAGACTGGTAACGATAACTGTTATCTATCTCTGGCTGCAGACTGGTAACAATAACTGTTCTCTATCTCTGGCTGCAGACTGTGGTAACAATAACTGTTATCCATCTCTGGCTGCAGAATGTGGTAACAATAACTTATCTATCTCTGGCTGCAGAATGTGGTAACAATAGTTATCTATCTCTGGCTGCAGACTGTGGTAACAATAACTGTTCTCTATCTCTGGCTGCAGACTGTGGTAACAATAACTGTTCTCTATCTCTGGCTGCAGACTGGTAACAATAACTGTTATCCATCTCTGGCTGCAGACTGTCGTAACAAACGTTATCTATCTCTGGATGCAGAATGTGGTTACAATAACTGTTCTCTATCTCTGGCTGCAGACTGGTAACAATAACTGTTATCCATCTCTGGCTGCAGACTGTCGTAACAAACGTTATCTATCTCTGGATGCAGAATGTGGTTACAATAACTGTTCTCTATCTCTGGCTGCAGACTGGTTACAATAACTGTTATCCATCTCTGGCTGCAGAATGTCGTAACAAATGTTATCTATCTCTGGATGCAGAATGTGGTTACAATAACTGTTCTCTATCTCTGGCTGCAGACTGTGGTAACAATAACTGTTCTCTATCTCTGGCTGCAGACTGTGGTAACAATAACTGTTCTCTATCTCTGGCTGCAGACTGTGGTAGCAATAACTGTTCTCTATCTCTGGCTGCAGACTGTGGTAACAATAACTGTTCTCTATCTCTGGCTGCAGACTGTGGTAACAATAACTTATCTGGCTGCAGACTTTGGTAACAAAAGTTATCGATCTCTGGCTACAGACTGTGGTAACAATAACTGTTCTCTATCTCTGGCTGCAGACTTTGGTAACAATAACTGTTCTCTATCTCTGGCTACAGACTGTGGTAACAAAAGTTATCTATCTCTGGCTGCAGACTTTGGTAACAATAACCGTTCTCTATCTCTGGCTGCAGACTGTGGTAACAAAAGTTATCTATCTCTGGCTGCAGACTTTGGTAACAATAACTGTTCTCTATCTCTGGCTGCAGACTGTGGTAACAATAACTTATCTGGCTGCAGACTTTGGTAACAAAAGTTATCGATCTCTGGCTACAGACTTTGGTAACAATAACTGTTCTCTATCTCTGGCTGCAGACTTTGGTAACAATAACTGTTCTCTATCTCTGGCTGCAGACTGTGGTAACAATAACTGTTCTCTATCTCTGGCTACAGACTGTGGTAACAATAACTGTTCTCTATCTCTGGCTGCACACTTTGGTAACAATAACTGTTCTCTATCTCTGGCTGCAGACTTTGGTAACAATAACTGTTCTCTATCTCTGGCTGCAGACTTTGGTAACAATAACTGTTCTCTATCTCTGGCTGCAGACTGTGGTAACAATAACTGTTCTATCTCTGGCTGCAGAATGTGGTAATAATAACTTATCTCTGGCTAGCTATTTCTCTTCGAAGTACAGTTATACAGTTTATCTTATATCACTCTACTCTGTACATTTATAGCTCTTCTAGATGTATATAATTATCCATTACAGCATAATTATCCATTTGATATAGTATCTTAATATGCCAAGAGTGTGCAAAGCTGTCATCAAAGCAAAGGGTGGCTACTTTGAAGAATCTCAAATATAAAATATATTTTGATTTGTTTAACACTTTTTTGGTTACTACATGATTCCATATGTGTTATTTTACAATGTAAAAAATAGTAAAAATAAACAAAAACCCTTGAATGAGTAGGTGTGTCAAACTTTTGACTGGTAGTGTATACAGTGGGGGAAAAAAGTATTTAGTCAGCCACCAATTGTGCAAGTTCTCCCACTTAAAAAGATGAGAGGCCTGTAATTTTCATCATAGGTACACGTCAACTATGACAGACAAAATGAGAAAAAAAAATCCAGAAAATCACATTGTAGGATTTTTTATGATTTTATTTGCAAATTATGGTGGAAAATAAGTATTTGGTCAATAACAAAAGTTTCTCAATACTTTGTTATATACCCTTTGTTGGCAATGACACAGGTCAAACGTTTTCTGTAAGTCTTCACAAGGTTTTCACACACTGTTGCTGGTATTTTGGCCCATTCCTCCATGCAGATCTCCTCTAGAGCAGTGATGTTTTGGGGCTGTCGCTGGGCAACACGGACTTTCAACTCCCTCCAAAGATTTTCTATGGGGTTGAGATCTGGAGACTGGCTAGGCCACTCCAGGACCTTGAAATGCTTCTTACGAAGCCACTCCTTCGTTGCCCGGGCGGTGTGTTTGGGATCATTGTCATGCTGAAAGACCCAGCCACGTTTCATCTTCAATGCCCTTGCTGATGGAAGGAGGTTTTCACTCAAAATCTCACGATACATGGCCCCATTCATTCTTTCCTTTACACGGATCAGTCGTCCTGGTCCCTTTGCAGAAAAACAGCCCCAAAGCATGATGTTTCCACCCCCATGCTTCACAGTAGGTATGGTGTTCTTTGGATGCAACTCAGCATTCTTTGTCCTCCAAACACGACGAGTTGAGTTTTTACCAAAAAGTTCTATTTTGGTTTCATCTGACCATATGGCATTCTCCCAATCCTCTTCTGGATCATCCAAATGCACTCTAGCAAACTTCAGACGGGCCTGGACATGTACTGGCTTAAGCAGGGGGACACGTCTGGCACTGCAGGATTTGAGTCCCTGGCGGCGTACCTTTACGGAACAAGATCCCACAACCCACTAGTGCCAACAGGCTACCTTAGTATGGTCCCCAATCAGAGACAACGAGCTACAGCTGCCTCTGATTGGGAACCACCCTGGCCAACATAGATCTAAACGATCTAGAAACTAACATAGACAAACCCAACACAGAAAATACACACCCTGACTCAACAAATACAAGTCCCTAGAGTCAGGGCGTGACAGCTCCTCTGTCCTCCACTCGTTACCTGTATTAATGGCACCTGTTTGAACTTGTTATCAGTATAAAAGACACCTGTCCACAACCTCAAACAGTCACACTCCAAACTCCACTATGGCCAAGACCAAAGAGCTGTCAAAGGACACCAGAAACAAAATTGTAGACCTGCACCAGGCTGGGAAGACTGAATCTGCAATAGGTAAGCAGCTTGGTTTGAAGAAATCAACTGTGGGAGCAATTATTAGGAAATGGAAGACATACAAGACCACTGATAATCTCCCTTGATCTGGGGCTCCACGCAAGATCTCACCCCGTGGGGTCAAAATGATCACAAGAACGGTGAGCAAAAATCCCAGAACCACACGGGGGGACCTAGTGAATGACCTGCAGAGAGCTGGGACCAAAGTAACAAAGCCTACCATCAGTAACACACTACGCCGCCAGGGACTCAAATCCTGCAGTGCCAGACATGTCCCCCTGCTTAAGCCAGTACATGTCCAGGCCCGTCTGAAGTTTGCTAGAGTGCATTTGGATGATCCAGAAGAGGATTGGGAGAATGCCATATGGTCAGATGAAACCAAAATAGAACTTTTTGGTAAAAACTCAACTCGTCGTGTTTGGAGGACAAAGAATGCTGAGTTGCATCCAAAGAACACCATACCTACTGTGAAGCATGGGGGTGGAAACATCATGCTTTGGGGCTGTTTTTCTGCAAAGGGACCAGGACGACTGATCCGTGTAAAGGAAAGAATGAATGGGGCCATGTATCGTGAGATTTTGAGTGAAAACCTCCTTCCATCAGCAAGGGCATTGAAGATGAAACGTGGCTGGGTCTTTCAGCATGACAATGATCCCAAACACACCGCCCGGGCAACGAAGGAGTGGCTTCGTAAGAAGCATTTCAAGGTCCTGGAGTGGCCTAGCCAGTCTCCAGATCTCAACCCCATAGAAAATCTTTGGAGGGAGTTGAAAGTCCGTGTTACCCAGCGACAGCCCCAAAACATCACTGCTCTAGAGGAGATCTGCATGGAGGAATGGGCCAAAATACCAGCAACAGTGTGTGAAAACCTTGTGAAGACTTACAGAAAACGTTTGACCTGTGTCATTGCCAACAAAGGGTATATAACAAAGTATTGAGAAACTTTTGTTATTGACCAAATACTTATTTTCCACCATAATTTGCAAATAAATTCATTAAAAATCCTACAATGTGATTTTCTGGATTTTTTTTTCTCATTTTGTCTGTCATAGTTGACGTGTACCTATGATGAAAATTACAGGCCTCTCTCATCTTTTTAAGTGGGAGAACTTGCACAATTGGTGGCTGACTAAATACTTTTTCCCCCCACTGTATATATTAGATGAACAACAGTATGTATATTAAACTCCATTTCCCATGATGCCCTGGGCTCTCTCTACTTCCTGTCCAGCTTGTTGGTGGCCATCATGGCTTTGACGTCAATGGGCCTGGCAGCAACAGCTGCTGCTGCCTTCTCCTCCTCCTCCTGCTGCCACAGGATGATGGGGCTGATGCCTGGGTTACGATTCCTCGCATTGGCCTCCAACTGGGCATCACTGGAGAGGGGGGGGGGAGGAAGAGAGAGAGGAGGAAGGAGAGAGGGGGAGGAGACAAGAGGTGAGCGTTGATCAGATTCATGTTGCATATCAAGACCACTGCTTTTCTTGAATGTCCACGTTCCTCCAAGAGTAGCTGAATGTCTCTTGTAAAAGAAGAGCGATGCAACCACACACACATGATATTAGCTCTATGAACTTTGTCTAGAAATTGCTTGGTAGAGACAGGTGAATGTACAGTCCAATAAACAATTATATTGTGTGGGTGCAGAATATCCTGCAGCATCTTACGTGAAGACATGAGGGGCCGGGACCAGAGCCCTCTTCTGCATGTCTTTGTGGACTGGAGACTTGAGGTAGCGGTAGAAGGTATCCTGGGACAGAGAGAGGAGGGGACATTATGAAACATGTCTTTGTGGACTGGAGACTTGAGGTAGTGGTAGAAGGTATCCTGAGACAGAGGAGGGGACATTATGAAACATGTCTTTGTGGACTGGAGACTTGAGGTAGTGGTAGACGATATCCTGGGACAGAGACAGAGGAGGGGACATTATGAAACATATCTTTGTGGACTGGAGACTTAAGGTAGTGGTAGACGATATCCTGGGACAGAGACAGAGGAGGGGACATTATGAAACATGTCTTTGTGGACTGGAGACTTGAGGTAGTGGTAGACGATATCCTGGGACAGAGACAGAGGAGGGGACATTATGAAACATATCTTTGTGGACTGGAGACTTGAGGTAGTGGTAGACGATATCCTGGGACAGAGACAGAGGAGGGGACATTATGAAAGCTTTAAGTTTTAATGTATTTTTTTTGCAGCACCTCTGCTGCAAATAAATAAAAATACATTACAACTAGAATAATATTTCAGTGAGTGCAGGGTTTTCCTTTTTTCCAGTGGATGCCCGGCACCCAAAGACTTTTCGTTACTACAAACTTTTGAGTTGAGCACGCCAATTCCTCATTCTGACGTTATGGAACGGCCACACAATCTTGCATTCCAGCTGTGCATTATGACAAATAACTGTATATTATTTAGCTAACAGCTAAAAAAAAACAGCTAACTGTAGCCTTTGTTTATTGTGCGTTAGCTGTGTAACTGAGGTAGTTCAGTGAACTATGCTGGTGTGATGAATGAGCCTGACCCCTCTGTTTGGAGGGACTAATACACAACACACACCTTCTTCATGAGCAGAAAGATGTGTGTCTGGGCAGCGTCGAGGACGTAGCGGTGAGGAACAACCAGTCCCTTCACTGTCAGCCCCATGGTACGACCGTCAATGTTGATCCATCTAGGAGCTCCGGGTTTCAGGAAGGTGCTGCACACACACACACACACACACACACACACACACACACACACACACAGAGGTTAAAAACCAAGCAGCAACTCTCTCTCTCTCTCTCTCTCTCTCTCTCTCACACATTCTCCAGTGTAACTCACTTGAAGATGAACTGGGACTTCTCTGGAATAGCAGATGCCGCTCCCCATCTCATTTCCTCAGCTGCCTCATAGAACGCCATGTTCTCCGCTGTACACACACACACACACACACACACAGAAAGCACACGTATGCACACACACACAGACATAATGCTAGGTTAGCTGAGCTGCATTCCACAGCATGCAAGGTAAACCACAGGTTGCATCCGAAATGAAATGGCACCCTTTTCCCTACACAGTGCACTACTTTTCCCTACACAGTGCACAACATAGGGTGCAATTTTCAATTAATCTTTCCTCAATCCCTTGCGTCCTCAGTTGGTGGAACTTTTGATCTTTTCACCCAGTACGCTTTGAGGAGGCCAGGAGAAAGGACACAAGGAATCGAGGAAAAACTAATTGAGAACGAGTGTGTGTGTGTACTGACCACTGTGCTCCTTCTTGAGGAAGAGCTTGAAGTCGACTCTGCCTCGAGGGTCACTGATCAGCTCCCAGAAGCTCAGGACCCAACGCTCCACACTCAACTTAGTGGGGGTGTCCACACTGAGGGAGAGAGAGAGAGAGAAGGGGGGGGGGGGGCAGATTGTAATGAAATCATCATGATCTTCAATCAAGACTTTGATCAGTAGAATCAAGTGTATTTCTACTGGGCTGGAGCAAAACTGTGCACCTGTGTTCAATTGACAGAAAATACTTTATTGAGTTCAGTTGCCAGAACGTACCTTCTTGAGTTGAGTTGCCAGAACTCATCACTGTCCGTTATCCAGGGGTTGCTAGGGACAGGGGTTGTCAGGAACGGGTCGTGGTTGTGGTGGCTTGTCACGTACTTGACAAAGCTAAGGAGAACAGAGGGAACATAAACGTTGTGAATCTTCATCCTATGTTGTCATCCCCAAAATAATCATATATACAGTACCAGTCAAAAGTTTGGACACACCTACTCATTCCAGGGTTTTTCTTTATTTTTACTATTTTCTACATTGTAGAATAATAGTGAAGACATCAAAACTATGAAATAACACATATGGAATCATGTAGTAACCAAAAAAGTGTTAAACAAATCAAAATACACTGCTCAAAAAAATAAAGGGAACACTAAAATAACACATCCTAGATCTGAATGAATGAAATAATCTTATTAAATACTTTTTTCTTTACATAGTTGAATGTGCTGACAACAAAATCACACAAAAATTATCAATGGAAATCAAATTTATCAACCCATGGAGGTCTGGATTTGGAGTCACCCTCAAAATTTAAGTGGAAAACCACACTACAGGCTGATCCAACTTTGATGTAATGTCCTTAAAACAAGTCAAAATGAGGCTCGCATTGATGTGCCATCCTGGATGAGCTGCACTACCTGAGCCACTTGTGTGGGTTGTAGACTCCGTCTCATGCTACCACTAGAGTGAAAGCACCGCCAGCATTCAAAAGTGACCAAAACATCAGCCAGGAAGCATAGGAACTGAGAAGTGGTCTGTGGTCACCACCTGAAAAAACAGTCCTTTATTGGGGGTGTCTTGCTAATTGCCTATAATTTCCACCTGTTGTCTATTCCATTTGCACAACAGCATGTTACATTTATTGTCAATCAGTGTTGCTTCCTAAGTGGACAGTTTGATTTCACAGAAGTATGATTGACTTGGAGTTACATTGTGTTGTTTAAGTGTTCCCTTTATTTTTTTGAGCAGTGTATATTTTATATTTGAGATTCTTCAAATAGCCACCCTTTGCCTTGATGACAGCTTTGCACACTCTTGGCATTCTCTCAACCAGCCTCATGAGGTAGTCACCTGGAATGCATTTCAATTAACAGGTGTGCCTTGTTAAAAATTAATTTGTGGAATTTCTTTCCTTAATGCGTTTGAGCCAATCAGTTGTGTTGTGACAAGTTAGGGGTGGTATACAGAAGATAGCCCAATTTGGGAAAAGACCAAGTTCATATTATGGTCCACAGGAAAGGAAGACCCAGAGTTACCTCTGCTGCAGAGGATACGTTCATTAGAGTTAACTGCACCTCAGATTGCAGCCCAAATAAATGCTTCACAGAGTTCAAGTAACAGACACATCTCAACATCAACTGTTCAGAGGAGACTGCGTGAATCAGGCCTTCATGGTCGAATTGCTGCAAATAAACCATTACTAAAGGACACCAATAAGAAGAAGAGACTTGCTTGGGCCAAGAAACACGAGCAATGGACATTAGACCGGTGGAAATCTGTCCTTTGGTCTGATGAGTCCAAATTGGAGATTCTTGGTTCCAACCGCCGTGTCTTTGTGAGACGCAAAGTAGGTGAACGGATGATCTCCACATGTGTGGTTCCCACTGTGAAGCATGAAGGAGGAGGTGTGATGGTGCTTTGCTGGTGACACTGTCTGTGATTTATTTAGAATTCAAGGCACACTTAACCAGCATGGCTACCACAGCATTCTGCAGCGATACGCCATCCCATCTGGTTTGCGCTTAGTGGGACTATCATTTGTTTTTCAACAGGACAATGACCCAACACACCTCCAGTCTGTGTAAGGGCTATTTGACCAAGAAGGAGAGTGATGGAGTGCTGCATCAGATGACCTGGCCTCCACAATCACCCGAGCTCAACCCAATTGAGATGGTTTGGGATGAGTTGGACCGCAGAGTGAAGGAAAAGCAGCCAACAAGTGCTCAGCATATGTGGGAACTTTCAAGACTGTTGGAAAAGCATTCCAGTTGAAGCTGCTTGAGAGAATGCCAAGAGTGTGCAAAGCTGTCATCAAGGCAAAGGGTGGCTATTTGAAGAATATCAAATATAACATATATTTTGATTTGTTTAACACTTTTTTGGTTACTACCTGATTCCATATGTGTTATTTCATAGTTTTGATGTCTTCACTATTATTCTACAATGTAGAAAATAGTAAAAATAAAGAAAAACCCTTGAATGAGTAGGTGTGTCCAAACCTTTGACTGGTGCTGTACAGTAAAATAACTTCTAACTCTCATTATACTGTAACGTTGGGGTTTCTTTTATTTTGAACAGGTCTTACACTTCTGAACACAACATTAATGTTACTGGTCTCAATCAGTCAGTCAGTCCATCAGTCATTCAGCCAATCAATTCATGAATCAAATGACCACACCACACACACAAACACAACCTATCAATCAATCGGCGAAGTGTATTGAGAAGGACTTACGCTGTGAGGGACACAGACGATTTGACAGCTGACCTCATTAGGGCTTGTGTAAGGAAAATGTTCTGGGTAGCAGGAGAGAGGAGAGGAGGAGAGAGGGGGATAAATAAGGAGGAGGGGATTGGGGGATAAATAAGGAGGAGAGGAGGAGAGGAGGAGAGAGGGGGATAAATAAGGAGGAGAGGAGGGGATTGGGGGATAAATAAGGAGGAGAGGAGGGGATTGGGGGATAAATAAGGAGGAGAGGAGGAAGGAGGGGAGAGGGGGATGAGGAGGAGGGGAAAATAGGAGGAGAGGAGGAGAGGGGGATAAATAAGGAGGAGAGGAGGAGAGAGGGGGATAAATAAGGAGGAGAGGAGGGAGAGAGGAGGAGGGAGAGAGGAGGAGGAGAGAAAGAGGAGATAAATGATATGTCTGTAATTTCGTAATGTATTTTCCACACAAACATCAAATTGAGTGCATTGGGATATTCAAGTATTCCAGTGTAGAAGTATGTATGATGTCTTACGGTTCTCCTGACCACGTCGTAGGTTAACACCTGATAAACAATAAGACAGAACAACAGCTTGTTATTACAGGCTGGGCTCTTCTGTTCCACTGCTATCTAAAGTCACAACAGAACAGCTAACACACACACACACACACACACACACACACACACACTCACAAACTCTCTCACATACACACACTCTCACACACACAATCTCTCTCGTAAGCGGGCTACACAGTACACACTGGGTCTAACACCACAGTCACAGGCTACAACACAATAAGCTAAATCTGCATGGTAACAGGCATATTTGGGCAGAAAGAGTGAAGGTGTGTGTGTGTTGTGTGTTGTGTGTGTGTATAACCCCTCCTCTTGACAACAGGTGAAGGATGAGATGGAATAGAATCTGCATGGAAGGAAGAGACAACACAACAAACTGTCAAATGAAGAACAGAGAGGGAGGTAGATAGAGGTAGAGAGGTAGGTAGAGAGAGAGAGAGAGAGAGAGAGGTAGAGAGAGAGGTAGAGAGAGAGAACAGTGAGAGAGAGGTAGAGAGAGAGAGGTAGAGAGGGAGGTAGAGAGTGAGGTAAAGAGGTAGAGATAGAGAGAGAGAGGTAAAGAGAGAGGTAGAGAGGTAAAGAGAGAGAGAGAGAGAGGTAGAGAGAGAGGTAGAGAGAGAGGTAGAGATAGAGAGAGAGGTAGAGAGAGAGAGAGGTAGTTTATTATTTTCCCATTTGTACTTTAACTATTTGCACATTGTTCCAACACTGTATATAGACATAATGACATTTTAAATGTCTTTATTCTTTTGGAACTTCTGAGTGTAATGTTTACTGTTAATTTTTATTGTTTATTTCACTTTTGTTTACTATCTACTTCACTTGCTCTGGCAATGTTAACATACGTTTCCCATGCCAATAAAGCCCTTAAATTGAAATTGAATTGAGAGGGAGAGGTAGAGAGAGAGAGAGAGAGTGAGAGAGAGAGAGATAGAGAGTGAGGTAGAGATAGAGAGCGAGGTAGAGAGGTAGAGATGGAGAGAGAGGTAGAAAGGTAGAGAGAGAGAGGTAGAGAGAGAGGTAGAGAGAGAGAGAGAACATTTTACATTTGGTTAGAAATTCAAAAGGAAATTATCTCAACTGAGAAAAATGTCCTCCTGTGTGCTACCTATATCCCCCCACTAGAATCCCCATACTTTAATGAAGACAGTTTCTCCATCCTGGAGGGGGAAATCAATCATTTCCAGACCCAGGGACATGTACTAGTCTGTGGCGACCTAAATGAACCTGAAAAAGAACCTGACACCCTCAGCACACAGGGGGACAAACACCTACCTGGAGGTGACAGCATTCCCTCCCCCATATGCCCCCCTAGGCACAACTACGACAACATAACCAACAAAAACAGGTCACGACTGCTGCAGCTCTGTCGCACACTGGGTATGTACATAGTCAATGGTAGGCTTCGAGGGGACTCCTATGGTAGGTACACCTATAGCTCATCTCTTGGCAGTAGTACTGTAGACTACTTTATCACTGACCTCAACCCAGAGTCTCTCAGAGCGTTCACAGTCAGCCCACTGACACCCCTATCAGACCACAGCAAAATCACAGTCTACTTGAACAGAGCAATACTCAATCATGAGGCATCAAAGCCAAAGGAACTGAATAATATTAAGAAATGCTATAGATGGAAGGAAAGCCGGGGCGGCAGGTAGCTTAGTGGTTAAGAGCGTTGTACCAGTAACCGAAAGGTCGCTGGTTCTAATCCCCGAGCCGACTAGGTGAAAAATCTGTCGATGTGCCCTTGAGCAAGGCACTTAACCCTAATTGCTCCTGTAAGTCGCTCTGGATAAGAGCGTCTGCTAAATGACCAATTTATTTTTTTTTTATTTTTTTTTAAAGTAGTGTTGAAACCTACCAAAAAACAATTAGGAAACAACAAATTCAATCCATTCTAGACAACTTCCTGGACAAAACGTTCCACTGTAATAGTGAAGGTGTAAACTTGGCAGTAGAAAACCTAAACAGTATATTTGACCTCTCAGCTTCCTTATCAAATCTAAAAATCTCTAACAGAAAACCAAAGAAAAGTAATAACAGTGATAAATGGTTTGATGAAGAATGCAAAAACCGAAGAAAGAAATTGAGAAACCTATCCAACCAAAAACATAGAGACCCAGAAAACCTGAGCCTACGCCTTCACTATGGTGAATCACTAAAACAATACAGAAATACACTACGGAAAAAGAAGGAACAGCATGTCAGAAATCAGCTCAATGTAATTGAAGAATCCATAGACTCTAACCACTTCTGGGAAAATTGGAAAACACTAAACAAACAACAACACGAAGAGCTATCTATCCAAAACGGAGATGTATGGGTAAACCACTTCTCCAATCTTTTTGGCCCTATAACAGAGAACAAACAGCAAAAGAATATACATGATCAAATGCAAATCTTAGAAATCAACTATAAAGAAACTATTAAAGAATACCAGAAATTTCTGTGTGGACATGTGATTACTTGTTTTGTACTATTGATTTGGCTATGTTTATCTACACGTTGACGAAGGTGTATATGAACTAATATGATTTGTTGATCTTGTTACTTTTTTTTCTTGGGATTAGTTGTTTTTTTGATTATGTTTTCGTGATGGGATTACTTTGTATGTTGAAAAAATTATTTGCTTTAGTTCGCTATGGATGTAAAATTTTAACTACTATTCTTATGATGACTAATTGTTTTTGTAGTTTTTTTGAACCTCTGTCTTTTTTTCTTGGTTATTACATCTGATTGTGTGGTTTACTTCTTTTTTTGGTTCTCTTTTGTTGGGATTGTACTGTCTTTTACCTTCTTTTTATGACTCCACTTTCATACTTATTATATTAATTTTTTATTTTCTTTTTTTGGGACCTTTTTTTTGATTAACTTTTTTGTTACTTTTAACTTTATTTTATACTTTTGTTCTCTATCTTGTTTTCTCTTTTTGCTTCTCTGCTTACCAGAACCCACTGGATTCTCCTATTACATTGAATGAACTACAGGACAAAATACAAACCCTCCAACCCCAAAAAGTCCTGTGGTGTTGATGGTATCCTCAATGAAATGATAAAATATACAGACCACAAATTTCAATTAGCTATACTTAAACTCTTTAACATCATCCTTAGCTCTGGCATCTTCCCCAATATTTGGAACCAAGGACTGATCACCCCAATCCACAAAAGTGGAGACAAATTTGACCCCAATAACTACCGTGGGATATGCGTCAACAGCAACCTTGGGAAAATCCTCTGCATTATCATTAACAGCAGACTAGTTCATTTCCTCAGTGAAAACAATGTACTGAGCAAATGTCAAATTGGCTTTTTACCAAATTACAGTACGACTGACCACGTATTCACCCTGCACACCCTAATTGACAAACAAACAAACCAAAACAAAGGCAAAGTCTTCTCATGCTTTGTTGATTTCAAAAAAGCTTTTGACTCAATTTGGCATGAGGGTCTGCTATACAAATTGATGGAAAGTGGGGTTGGGGGAAAAACATACGACATTATAAAATCCATGTACACAAACAACAAGTGTGCGGTTAAAATTGGCAAAAAACACACACATTTCTTTCCACAGGGCCGTGGGGTGAGACAGGGATGCAGTTTAAGCCCCACCCTCTTCAACATATATATCAACGAATTGGCGAGGGCACTAGAACAGTCTGCAGCACCCGGCCTCACCCTACTAGAATCTGAAGTCAAATGTCTTCTGTTTGCTGATGATCTGGTGCTTCTGTCACCAACCAAGGAGGGCCTACAGCAGCACCTAGATCTTCTGCACAGATTCTGTCAGACCTGGGCCCTGACAGTAAATCTCAGTAAGACAAAAATAATGGTGTTCCAAAAAAGGTCCAGTTGCCAGGACCACAAAAACCATCTAGACACCGTTGCCCTAGAGCACACAAAAAACTATACATACCTCGGCCTAAACATCAGCGCCACAGGTAACTTCCACAAAGCTGTGAACGATCTGAGAGACAAGGCAAGAAGGGCCTTCTATGCCATCAAAAGGAACATAAAATTTGACATACCAATTAGGATCTGGCTAAAAATACTTGAATCAGTTATAGAACCCATTGCCCTTTATGGTTCTGAGGTCTGGGGTCCGCTCACCAACCAAGAATTCACAAAATGGGACAAACACCAAATTGAGACTCTGCATGCAGAATTCTGCAAAAACATCCTCCGTGTACAACGTAAAACACCAAATAATGCATGCAGAGCAGAATTAGGCCAATACCCGCTAATTATCAAAATCCAGAAAAGAGCCGTTAAATTCTATAACCACTTAAAAGGAAGCGATTCCCAAACCTTCAATAACAAAGCCATCACCTACAGAGAGATGAACGTGGAGAAGAGTCCCCTAAGTAAGCTTGTCCTGGGCCTCTGTTCACAAACACAAACAGACCCCACACAGCCCCAGGACAACAACAACAACAACAACACAATTAGACCCAACCAAATCATGAGAAAACAAAAAGAGAATTACTTGACACATTGGAAAGAACAAACAAAAAAACAGAGCAAACTAGAATGCTATTTGGCCCTAAACAGAGAGTACACAGTGGCAGAATACCTGACCACTGTGACTGACCCGAACTTAAGGAAAGCTTTGACTATGTACAGACTCAGTGAGCATAGCCTTGCTATTGAGAAAGGCCGCCGTAGGCAGACCTGGCTCTCAAGAGAAGACAGGCTATGTGCACACTGCCCACAAAATGAGGTGGAAACTGAGCTGCACTTCCTAACCTCCTGCCAAATGTATGACCATATTAGGGACATATTTCCCTCAGATTACAGCGATCCACAAAGAATTAGAAAACAAACCCAATTTTGATAAACTCCCTTATCTACTGGGTGAAAAACCACAGTGTGCCATCACAGCTGCAAGATTTGTGACCTGTTGCCACAAGAAAAGGGCAACCAGTGAAGAACAAACACCATTGTAAATACAACCCCATATTTATGTTTATTTATTTCCCATTTGGTACTTTAACTATTTGCACATTGTTACAACACTGTATATATACATAATATGACATTTGAAATGTCTTATTCTTTTGATACTTCTGAGTGTAATGTTTACTGTTAATATTTATTGTTTATTTCACTTTTGTTTACTATCTACTTCACTTGCTTTGGCAATGTTAACACACGTTTCCCATGCCAATAAAGCCCTTAAATTGAAATTGAATTGAAATTGAAATTGAGAGAGGTAGAGATAGGGGTAGAGAGAGAGAGAGAGAGAGAGAGAGAGAGGTAGTGAGAGAGGTAGAGAGAGAGAGAAGTAGAGAGAGGTAGAGAGAGAGAGGTAGAGAGAGAGTTGGTAGCGAGAGAGAGGTAGAGAGAGGGAGAGGTAGAGAGAGCGAGAGGTAGAGAGAGAGCTAGAGAGAGAGAAAGTGAGAGGTTAGAGAGTGTAAGAGAGAGTAGAGGGAGAGAGGTAGAGAGGTAGAGGTAGAGAGAGGAGAGAGTAGAGAGGTTGAGAGAGGTAGAGAGGTAGAGAGAGAGTGTCATGACCAGGGTAGAGAGGTAGAGAGAGGTAGAAGGGTAGAGAGAGGTAGAGAGAGTAGAGAGGTAGAGAGAGGGTCGGAGGTTAGAGAGAGAGGTAGGGGGAAAGTTAGAGAGAGGAGGTGGGAGGTAGGAGAGGTGACGGGGTAGAGAGAGAGGTTCGAGAGTAGAGGTAGAGAGAGAGTTAGAGATGGCGAGGTAGAGAGAGGGGGTGAGCAGCGGTAGAGAGAGAGAGGTGAGGGGTAGGACTGGCGGTAGGGAGGGTAGAGAGTGAGGTTAGAGGGGTGGTGGTAGGGAGACGTAGGTGTTGAGGAGAGGTAGAGAGAGAGTAGGTCTAGAGGAGAGGTTGCGGAGAGGTTAGGAGAGAGAGGTTAGAGAGGAGACGGTAGAGGAGTAGAGGGAGAGAGAGAGAGGTAGAGAGAGTACTGTACTGTAGTAGCCTCCCTGCTAATTCTCAGTAATGTTCTGAGCTCTGAGAAGCAGGTGGTTCTAACACAGCTACTCTCTCTCTCCCTCTTCACTCTCCCAATTACATTTCAAATTCAATTTAAGGGCTTTATTGGCATGGGAAACATATGTTAACATTGCCAAAGCAAGTGAAGTAGATAATAAACAAAAGTGAAATAAACAATAAAAATTAACAGTAAACATTACACTCATAAAAGTTCCAAAAGAATAAAGACATTTAAAATGTCATATTATGTATATATACAGTGTTGTAACAATGTGCAAATAGTTAAAGTACAAAAGGGAAAATAAATAAGCATAAATATGGGTTGTATTTACAATGGTGTTTGTTCTTCACTGGTTGCCCATTTCTTGTGGCAACAGGTCACAAATCTTGCTGCTGTGATGGCACACTGTGGTATTTCACCCAGTAGATAAGGGAGTTTATCAAAATTGGGTTTGTTTTTTGAAATCTTTGTGGATCTGTGTAATCTGCATAATCTCTCGCTTCACTCTCCCACATCTCTTAATCTCAGACTGGTGGGGAGATGACATATGAGGTGGCAGGTAGCCTAGCGGTTAAGAGTGTTGGGCCAGTAACAGAAAGGTAGCCGTTTCGAATCCCGAGCCAATTAGGTGAAATATCTGTTGATGTGCCCTTGAGCAAGGCACTTAACCCTAATTGCTCCTGTAAGTCGCTCTGGATAAGAGTGTCTGCTAAATGACAAAAATGTCAAATTTAAATATGACAAGGGAAGGAATTTCACCACATTACAACTAATCTCTAACTAAAGTAGAATCGTACATAATTTGGTCAGCTGCGTGAACGTCTGTTTTCATACATGTTAGAAACTGATATATCCGGTCTAGCAAAGTCTACACCCCCGCAATAGCCCCCCCCGATCTGCGTGGGCACACGTTCAAAGCACTCGAGGCAAATCAAGCACTGCTTTCGCCCAATCCTGATACGTCCAAATAACCAGTGACAAAAACCACGCAGAATCTACCTATGGGAGATTACGTTACAACAGCTCTTCAACATAGTTCCACCCCCTTCGAACGTCAAACTCTTTTATTTTAACCTCAAACCCGGAAGTGCAAAATGAAATCCTATTGAGATAACAAGGATGCTTCCCAAACGACACCGTAATTCCTACACACTGAGTGTACAAAACATTTAAGAACACCTGCTCTGTCCATGACAGACTGACCAGGTGAATCCAGGTGAAAGATATGATCCCTTATTGATGTCACTTGTTAAATCCACTTAAAATCAGTGTAGATGAAGGGGAGGAGACAGGTTAAAGAAGGATTTTTAAGCCTTGAGACAATTGAGACATGGGCTGTGTGTCTGCTATTCAGAGGGTGAATGGGCAAGACAAAAGATACCTGCCTGCTGCGTTTTTCAAGTCAAGTCAAATGTATTTATAAAGCCCTTTTTAGATCAGCAGATGTCACAAAGTGCTTATACAGAAACCCAGTCTAAAACCCCAAACAGCAAGCAATGCAGATGTAGAAGCACGGTGGCTAGGAAAAACTCCCTAGAAAGGCAGGAACCTAGGAAGAAACCTAGAGAGGAACCAGGCTCTTCTGGCTGTGCCGGATTAATGCCAGATTGTTCTTCAATATGTTTTTCACGCTTGATACACAGTTTCCTGTGTGTATCAAGAACGATCCACCACCCAAAGGACATCCAGCCAACTTGACACAACTGTGGGAAGCATTGGAGTCAACATGGGCCAGCATCCCTGTGGAACGCTTTCAACACATTGTAGAATCCATGCCCCGACGAATTGAGGCTGTTCTGAGGACAAAGGGGAGGGGGCGACTCAATATTAGGAAGGTGTCCTTAATGTTTTGTACACTCAGTGTATAAAGCACAGGGTGCCATTTGGGACACACTCTGTTTTCCAAGGGAAATGTCTCAGACAGCACAGTACTCACCTTTTACCTCCTCTGCATTGGGGTCAATGAGACGGTCCAGTCCGTAGTCCATGGCGCTGTGTGTCCGGCGCTGTGGACAGACCAAGCACCTCTTTAGTCAGTCTGGTGTGCTGTACCTCCACATATCATCTACACAGTCTGGAGCACAGACCCCTGGATAAGGAACTGGGAAAACTCAGCAAGAAACATCAACTGACATACGATCATTTTGCATTGTTAATGGTCTCCAATGTGCATACCGATTTTTTTCCCCAAACAGATCTGGCACCAACATCATCAATCATAGTTCATTTTGAATGAGAACATTATATTACTTGTATTAAATTAACGCTTATTTACCAGGTAGGTTGACTGAGAACACATTCTCTTTTACAGCAACGACCTGAGGAATAGTTACAGGGGAGAGGAGGGGGGATGAATGAGCCAACTGGAAGCTACTTGAACATGCTCCAACTCCTTTCTGCCTCGATTAGTCCTTTTGGAAGTTTTTCCTGGTAAGCCCTTTTGTTGGATTTCCGTCAGTGTTGTCAAGCACCCCTCCTAGTTTCTTGCTGTAGTGCGGAGGCCTACCTGAACTGGCTAACAGGTTTGATTTTCCCATGTCCTAAAAATCACCTTATATCTTTTTACATGTGTTCTGTTACATCACACATAGTCCTTGGTGATGTTCTCCAAATGTTCCACTGATGACACCTGTTAGTTCCCATGTACTGTCACGCCCTGACTCTGGGGACTCTTATTTGTTGAGTCAGGGTGTGATTTTCTATGTTGTATTTTCTATGTTTTGGATCTAGTATGTTCTAGATCAGGGGTGTCAAACGTCCGGCCCGCGGGCCGGATCAGGCCCGCAAACGGGTTTAATCCGGCCTGCGAGATGATTAAAAAAAAAAATAATAATAAAAAATAAAAAAAATTGTAAAGTATAGAAATGCGCTGCAATTTTTCAATAAAATAAACTGTTGTTCCAATTGCGTCCACTGGATGGCGCAATAGCAATTGTGTTAAGCAAGCAAACTGTTTATACCGGGGCAGAGCAAGTAGGTCAAGCACGTGCAGCCAATGAGCTACTTTGTTTTGCCCGCGATATTTATTACGGCTTCTACTTTTAACATTATGTGCTTTGGCACCCTCATTGCCCCAATATGTCTCTGTCAAAAAAGAGAAAAGTGGACGCAGAGTGCAGAGTGTTTCAAGAAAAATGGTCATCCTATTTATTCACGGAATTGAATGGGAAAGCTGTATGTTTGGTGTGTTCAGAGCATGTTGCAGTGCTGAAAGCATATAACCTTCGTCGCCACTATGTGAGTCTTCATGCCGACAAATATGACAACTTTCAAGGACAGCGGAGATGAGAGAAGGTGAATGAACTGTTGGCGGGTCTGAAGAAACAGCAGTCTGTGTTTACTCACAGCCGAGACATCAGTGACGCTGCAGTGAAAGCTAGCTACCTCATTGCTAATGAAATCGCAGTGGCTTCAAAACCATTTAGTGAGGGTGAATTTGTAAAAACATGCATGATGAAGGCAGCGGAGATTGTGTGCCCTGAAAAGCGGCAGGCTTTTGCAAATATCAGCCTGACAAGAAACACAGTTGCAGACAGGATTTCCGATCTTTCAGTGGATTTGGACAGCCAGTTGAAGCAAAAAGTAAAGTCATTTATTGCGTTTTCGGTTGCAATTGATGAAAGCACGGACATTACAGATGTTGCACAACTGGCCATTTTCATCCGCGGAGTTGATGACACATTGACCGTCACCGAGGAGTTCGTGGAGTTGGTGCCGATGACAGATACAACGACAGCAGCTGATATTTTTACCGCACTCGTCGGCGCGCTGGACAGGGTCGGAGTGGACTGGTCCCGCGCTGTCAGCCTGGCTACAGATGGTGCGCCCTCAATGATCGGGAAAAAAGCAGGCGTTGTGACAAAGTTCAGAGAGAAAGTGCAATCTGCATATAGAGGACGTGATTTTTTGACTTTTCACTGTATTTTGCACCAGGAGGCTTTGTGTTGCAAGTCATTAAAGATGGATAACGTCATGAAGGTGGTCATCCAAACTGTTAATTTCATCCGATCCAGAAGCCTGAATCACCGTCAGTTTGACAGCCTTCTCAGAGAGAAAGACCACATCTATGGCCTGCCATACCACACTGAGGTAAGATGGTTAAGCCGAGGTGCTGTGCTGAGGCGTTTCTTTGATTTACGAGAAGAAATTGAACAGTTCATGGAAGAAAAGGGCAAACCAGTGTTAGAATTTCATTCCGCAGAATGGATGCAGGACCTTGCATTTATGGTGGATGTTACAGAGCACCTGAATAACTTGAACAAACAGCTGCAAGGGCGCAACAAAGTTGTCACGCAGTATTATGACAGCATACGTTCTTTCAAGTTGAAGCTGTCATTGTGGGAGACGCAACTTGCCAGTGGTGATGCAGCTCACTTCCCCTGTCTGAAAAATGTGTGCGCGACCCAACATGTGGCAGACATGAAGCGGTTCAAAGATAAAATAACGGGACTGTTACGGGAGTTTGAGCAACGCTTTCAGATTTATGTTTATATGTTTTTATGTTGATGTGCTATTGTTTTTAATTGATTTTATTTTATTTGTATATTTAACCTATTCTTGACTCTGTGGTTCTTGCACTTGTTTGGGGAACAGGATTTCATTATTTTTATCTACATTTCTGCCTGAGAAATGACACCCTGATATAGTTATGTGATCTGTGAAACAGTTCTGTTAATCCCTGAGGCATTGTGTGTTTGTGTGTTCTTTGTCCTCAGAACTTTCAAATAACTTGAGGTGTTTTATGATTAATAGTGATGTTGTGCTTTTGGACACTGTCCTCAGGCTCCAGCTTTATGTTTATATGTTTTTATGTTGATGTGCTATTGTTTTTAATTGATTTTATTTTATTTGTATATTTAACCTATTCTTGACTCTGTGGTTCTTGCACTTGTTTGGGGAACAGGATTTCATTATTTTTATCTACATTTCTGCCTGAGAAATGACACCCTGATATAGTTATGTGATCTGTGAAACAGTTCTGTTAATCACTGAGGCATTGTGTATTTGTGTGTTCTTTTTCTTTAGAATTTTCAAATAAACTTGACGTGTTTTATGATTAATAGTGATGTTGTGCTTGTACTATTTTGGACACACTGTCCTCAGGCTCCAGCTTTATGTTGTATGTTGATCGTATTAAAACAAAGAAAACAATCTGAAGTTGTTGTTTTTAAGTTATATATACCATGATTTTTCCGGTCCGGCCCACTTGGGAATAGATTTTCCTCCATGTGGCCCCTGAGCTAAAATGAGTTTGACACCCCTGTTCTAGATCTATGTTGGCCGGTGTGGTTCCCAATCAGAGGCAGCTGTCGCTCGTTGTCTCTGATTGGGGACCATACTTAGGCAGCCTATTGGCACTAGTGGGTTGTGGGATCTTGTTCCGTGTTAGGTATGTTGTTTGTGTACCTAGGATTTCACGTTTCGTTTGTTGTTTTGTAGTTGTTTATTCGGTTCTAAATAACATGTATGCATATCACGCTGCGCCTTGGTCTGACCAGTTCATCAACGAACGTGACATGTACTGGTTCACTACCACCCAGTGTGTAATAAAGACTGGACTGAGCCCATTAGACGTCTAGTTCTGAAGAGGTTTCAGGTCCTGTATCTCTGCTGGTGTTGCTGTTCTGTCTGTCTGGGCCATGGCCTCATGGTGAGAGTGAGGCAGAATAACCCTCAGCATCTCCATGCAGGAAACTGGTAGTGCAGCCAGCAGTCATTAGTTCAAAGTTCAAGTTAAGACGGAACACTGAAAAGAAAGAGACTTGTGTTGAAAGAAAAGTATTGTTGAGAAAAAAAAAATGTTTGTTTGTTATTGATCCGGGGCATAGTATTATGTCATTGACAGACGAGAGAAGCTTGTTTTTATTTTTGGTAATGTAATAACATTACAGGTCTCAGAGGTCTCATACAGGTCTACAGACTAAAATGAGGGAAGATGTGAGCTGATATAGTTCCTATGTGACACGTATTAACACTACTGAGTGATACAACTATCACTAGAGTAACCTGCGTAGGGATATGACCGTGAACTTAACTTGTCATTAGTCATGTAGCCGTTTAGCAGAGAAGCCCCATTGCAGTAACTATTCAAGTGAGTTCGCCATTAAATAACCTAAAAGGATATACTTGCCTCTGAGCTGTTTACTGCCGCATCGAACATTACAGAGGGGTCAGAGTAAATTCCATCACGAAACAGGGTCACAGTGAATGGAGAGAGAGCAGGACTAGACACTATGGACTTCATAGACTGACAGGAACAATATCCTTTCCATGTGTACACACACACACACACGCACACACACACACTCTCTGGTAGGTCTGAACTCACTGGTGGCCTGTGTATTATCCAGTAGGCTCTCTCCTGACAGTCCAACACCACTCTGTCTGGCTTCTTCCTCTCCTTATTAGCCCTGACACACACACGGAAACAGACAGGAGACAGACAGGGGAGAGACAGACAGAAAGGAGACAGACAGGAGACAGGAGAGACAGACAGACAGGAGACAGACAGACACGAGACAGACAGACACGGGAGAGACAGACACGGGAGAGACAGACAGACAGACAGGAGACAGAGAGACACGGGAGAGACATACAGGAAACAGAGAGACATGGGAGAGACAGACAGGAGACAGAGAGACAGACAGGAGACAGAGAGACATGGGAGAGACAGACAGGAGAGAGAGACAGACAGGAGACAGAGAGACACAGGAGAGACAGATAGGAGACAGAGAGACACAGGAGAGACATACAGGAGACAGAGAGACATGGGAGAGACAGACAGGAGACAGAGAGACAGACAGGAGACAGAGAGACATGGGAGAGACAGACAGGAGAGAGAGACAGACAGGAGACAGAGAGACACAGGAGAGACAGATAGGAGACAGAGAGACACAGGAGAGACATACAGGAGACAGAGAGACATGGGAGAGACAGACAGGAGACAGAGAGACAGACAGGAGACAGAGAGACAGACATGGGAAAGGAGATAGATACAGGAGACAGAAAGCCAGGTCACTATTGAATCACACTTGGTCTTGGGGACCCACTGGGTGTGCAGGCTTTTATTCATCCAAGCACTAACACACCTATTTCAAATAATCACACAGCTCTTGATTAGGTGAATCAGGCATGTTAGTGCTGGTCTGGAACAAAAGCCTGCACACCGTGTGGGTCCCTACCAACACATAAACAGACAACAGACGTCAGACAACAGACGGTTACATACTTGTACTGTTCTGTAGCCTGCATCACGATGAAATCCCACTTGGGGTTCATCCATTTGTGGAGGTTGTCGTAGTGTTGCTGTTGAAAACAACAGATGTTTGACTAAAGTATCTAATGTCAAATAGACAGACGACAAATCCACCGAAGTAAAAATGACAGATACATGTATGAAGAAATATCTAGCTCCTCCATCCTGCTTTGGAACCCCCCCCAGACAACAGAATATAACCAACACCAGTAGCACTATAGCATTATGGGTGAGAGAGCTACTGTACCTAACATGAACATGTTAGTCATATAGCAGACACTCTTATCCAGAGATAGCTAGGTGAGAAAACCACATATCACAGTCGTAGTCAGCGGGATTTATTTAAGATATGCATTTTTTTCCTTCTTTTTTTTTACACCTGCAGTACCTGCTCATAGGGCTCCAGCATCCCCTTCTTCCGGATGTTTCTCCTGGCCAGGTAGATGGCTTTAGGGAGAGAGGAAGTATACGATACGTTATTTACCACATCTTTACCTCAGCCAGGTGCAGAAAACTGAGTTAATACATCATCAGCTTGTCTAGGTGAGATCATGTGACTCAGAATGTTATTGTATCACTATCTTAACTAGCTGAAACAACAATCACACTAAGAAGTAGCTGACAGGGCTTAAAAACAAAGATGTAATCGTACACTGATGATTCATGTTTTCTTTTAAATCCACAATTTGGATCCCTCCACAGCCTCATAGAGGATCTAGATATTTTTTTCGAATCTCTCTGGATTACAACCAAATTATGATATGTGCAATATATTACGTATTGGATCACTAAAAAATACAACTTTTACATTACCGTGTAGTTTACCAATAAAATGGTCTGATGGTGAAGTGGACATACTCAGTATTCATATACCGAAAGAAAGAAATGATCTCACCACAATACATTTTAATAGAAAGTTAGCAAAAATAGATAAGATCTTGCTACCATGGAAAGGAAAATAGCTGTCTATTTGTGGAAAAATCACTCTGATTAACTCTTTAGTCATATCCCAGTTTACCTATTTGCTTATGGCCTTGCCTACAACTAGCGACTTGTTTTTTAAATTATAGGAGAAACAGGCCTATTTATTGGTAACGCACAGCGTAGTGTGTTACCAATTGCAGAAATGATTAAATGTTATACAACAGGTGGGTCTAATCCTGAATGCTGATTGGTTAAAACCGCATTCCAGACGGTGTCTATTCCACAAGTTACCGCCAGCTAAATCTACATTTACATTTACATTTTAGTCATTTAGCAGACGCTCTTATCCAGAGCGACTTACAGGAGCAATTAGGGTTAAGTGCCTTGCTTAAGGGCACATCGACAGATTTTTCACCTAGTCGGCTCGGGGATTAGAACCAGCGACCTTTCGGTTACTGGCACAACGCTCTTACCCACTAAGCTACCATGTTCTGTATCTATGGACGCGACCCAGTCATTCAGTCTTTTTGTTCTGTATCTATGGACGCGACCCAGTCATTCAGTCTTTTTGTTCTGTATCTATGGACGCGACCCAGTCATTCAGTCTTTTTGTTCTGTATCTATGGACGCGACCCAGTCATTCAGTCTTTTTGTTCTGTATCTATGGACGCGACCCAGTCGTTTGTTCTAAATGTTCCATTGCCATATTGGTTGGCAACGTTCTTATCTCTTGCTTGCTAGCTAGCCAACTACGGCTAACTTACAGACAGTCACGTCATAAAGTGCAGCCAGAGTAGCTGCATTTGCATTTGTTTAAGCTGTTTTCTAGTGACATTTATTTGGATACATCCATAACAATGTGTTAATGATGCGCGATTTCGCCTGGCATAGAAAATGTGCTCTCTCGTCAGGACAGTGTTGTTCAGAGGAGCTAGCCAACAACACAGCTAACACAATCACTTCAAACTGAAGCTGGAAAGACTGCAAACTAGCTGCACTTGGTTTCATTTGACCTGTTTTCAATTGACATTTCTTTGTATATATCCATAAAAATGCAAATGTCGGAGAGACTGACAGCAAGGTTTATACAAATCTCCTCTGTTGAAAACTCAATTTTAGTCTAAAAGAAATGTGAGATAATGTCTAGATGCTTTTTATAGTGGAGATCAAGTTAATAAATTGCCTGGTTGGGCTGATGAGACAGTGGATTGCGCAGTCAGATGGAACAGAGTAAATAGGCACTACGCCGTCATGGATTAAAATCCTGCAGCGCACGCAAGGTCCCCCTGCTCAAGCCAGCGCATGTCCAGGCCCATCTGAAGTTTGCCAATGACCATCTGGATGATCCAGAGGAGGAATGGGGGAAGGTCATGTGGTCTGATGAGACCAAAATAGAGCTTTTTGGTCTAAACTCCACTCGCCGTGTTTGGAGGAAGAAGAAGGATGAGTACAATCCCAAGAACACCATCCCAACCGTGAAGCATGGAGGTGGAAACATAATTCTTTGGGGATGCTTTTCTGCCAAGGGGACAGGATGACTGCACCGTATTGAGGGGAGGATGGATGGGGCCATGGATCGCAAGATCTTGGCCAACAACCTCCTTCCCTCAGTAAGAGCATTGAAGATGGGTCGTGGCTGGGTCTTCCAGTATGACAACGACCCGAAACACACAGCCAGGGCAACTAAGGAGTGGCTCCGTAAGAAGCATTTCAAGGTCCTGGAGTGGCCTAGCCAGTCTCCAGACCTGAACCCAATAGAAAATCTTTGGAGGGAGCTGAAAGTCCGTATTGCCCAGCGACAGCCCCGAAACCTGAAGGATCTGGAGAAGGTCTGTATGGAGGAGTGGGCCAAAATCCCTGCTGCAGTGTGTGCAAACCTGGTCAAGACCTACAGGAAACGTATGATCTCTGTAATTGCAAACAAAGGTTTCTGTACCAAATATTAAGTACTGCTTTTCTGATGTATCAAATACTTATGTCATGCAATAAAATGCAAATTAATTACTTAAAAATCATACAATGTGATTTTCTGGATTTTTGTTTTAGATTCCGTCTCTCACAGTTGAAGTGTACCTATGATAAAAATTACAGACCTCTACATGCTTTGTAAGTAGGAAAACCTGCAAAATCGGCAGTGTATCAAATACTTGTTCTCCCCACTGTATATATACAGTGAGGGAAAAAAGTATTTGATCTCCTGCTGATTTTGTATGTTTGCCCACTGACAAAGACATGATCAGTCTATAATTTTAATGGTAGGTTTATTTGAACAGTGAGAGACAGAATAACAACAACAAAAAAATCCAGAAAAACGCATGTCAAAAATGTTATAAATTGATTTGCATTTTAATGAGGGAAATAAGTATTTGACCCCTCTGCAAAACATGACTTAGTACTTGGTGGCAAAACCCTTGTTGGCAATCACAGCGGTCAGACGTTTCTTGTAGTTGGCCACCAGGTTTGCACACATCTCAGGAGGGATTTTGTCCCACTCCTCTTTGCAGATCTTCTCCAAGTCATTAAGGTTTCGAGCCTGACGTTTGGCAACTCGAACCTTCAGCTCCCTCCACAGATTTTCTATGGGATTAAGGTCTGGAGACTGGCTAGGCCACTCCAGGACCTTAATGTGCTTCTTCTTGAGCCACTCCTTTGTTGCCTTGGCCGTGTGTTTTGGGTCATTGTCATGCTGGAATACTCATCCACGACTCATTTTCAATGCCCTGGCTGAGGGAAGGAGGTTCTCACCAAAGATTTGACGGTACATGGCCCCATGCATCTTCCCTTTCATGCGGTGAAGTTGTCCTGTCCCCTTAGCAGAAAAACACCCCCAAAGCATAATGTTTCCACCTCCATGTTTGACGGTGGGGATGGTGTTCTTGGGGTCATAGGCAGCATTCCTCCTCCTCCAAACACGGCGAGTTGAGTTGATGCCAAAGAGCTCGATTTTGGTCTCATCTGACCACAACACTTTCACCCAGTTCTCCTCTGAATCATTCAGATGTTAATTGGCACTTCAGACAGGCCTGTATATGTGCTTTCTTGAGCAGGAGGACCTTGCGGGCGCTGCAGGATTTCAGTCCTTCACGGCGTAGTGTGTTACCAATTGTTTTCTTGGTGACTATGGTCCCAGCTGCCTTGAGATCATTGACAAGATCCTCCCGTGTAGTTCTGGGCTGATTCCTCACCGTTCTCATGATCATTGCAACTCCACAAGGTGAGATCTTGCATGGAGCCCCAGGCTGACGGAGATTGACAGTGCTTTTGTGTTTCTTCCATTTGCGAATAATCGCACCAACTGTTGTCACCTTCTCACCAAGCTGCTTGGCGATGGTCTTGTAGCCCATTCCAGCCTTGTGTAGGTCTACAATCTTGTCCCTGACATCCTTGGAGAGCTCTTTGGTCTTGGCCATGGTGGAGAGTTTGGAATCTGATTGATTGATTGCTTCTGTGGACAGGTGTCTTTTATACAGGTAACAAGCTGAGATTAGGAGCACTCCCTTTAAGAGTGTGCTCCTAATCTCAGCTCGTTACCTGTATAAAAGACACCTGGCAGCCAGAAATCTTTCTGATTGAGAGGGGGTCAAATCCTTATTTCCCTCATTAAAATGCAAATCAATTTATAACATTTTTGACATGCGTTTTTCTGGATTTTTTTGTTGTTATTCTGTCTCTCACTGTTCAAATAAACCTACCATTAAAATTATAGACTGATAATTTCTTTGTCAGTGGGCAAACGTACAAAATCAGCAGGGGATCAAATACTTTTTTCCCTCACTGTATATATATATATATATATATATATTTACAAAAAACATATATATGGGGGATTGGAAAAGATGCAAACAATTACATTGATGGAAGCCACAATCTATCTGCAATATTTAAGCTGATCAACCCCCTAATGTTTTTTTTAACATAAAAATAAGTAGCTGCCAGTGACTAGGCATTCACTCTCCTTTCACTCCAGAAGATAAACCCACCATAGTCTATGTCCTCAGCGGGCCACTTCTGCACGGGCCAGAAATAAGGGGTCTGAGGAAAGGTTGGGACAGACAGTGACATGAAGATTAGTCATTTCCTCTGCCTGAAATACTAACTACCGCAGGCACTGTGTCCTTCCAGGGGTTAATGACAACTGCTCTACTGTGGAGAAATGTTACCTGACCAGGGGTTAATGACAACTGCTCTAGTGTGGGGAAATGTTACCTGACCAGGGGTTAATGACAACTGCTCTACTGTGGAGAAATGTTACCTGACCAGGGGTTAATGACAACTGCTCTACTGTGGAGAAATGTTACCTGACCAGGGGTTAATGACAACTGCTCTACTGTGGAGAATGTTACCTGACCAGGGGTTAATGACAACAGCTCTACTGTGGGGAAATGTTACCTGACCAGGGGTTAATGACAACTGCTCTAGTGTGGAGAAATGTTACCTGTCCAGGGGTTAATGACAACTGCTCTAGTGTGGGGAAATGTTACCTGACCAGGGGTTACTGACAACAGCTCTACTGTGGGGAAATGTTACCTGACCAGGGGTTAATGACAACTGCTCTAGTGTGGAGAAATGTTACCTGACCAGGGGTTAATGACAACTGCTCTAGTGTGGAGAAATGTTACCTGACCAGGGGTTAATGACAACGGCTCTACTGTGGAGAAATGTTACCTGACCAGGGGTTAATGACAACTGCTCTACTGTGGGGAAATGTTACCTGACCAGGGGTTAATGACAACAGCTCTACTGTGGGGAAATGTTACCTGACCAGGGGTTAATGACAACAGCTCTACTGTGGAGAAATGTTACCTGACCAGGGGTTAATGACAACTGCTCTAGTGTGGGGAAATGTTACCTGACCAGAGGTTAATGACAACTGCTCTAGTGTGGGGAAATGTTACCTGACCAGGGGTTAATGACAACTGCTCTAGTGTGGGGAAATGTTACCTGACCAGGGGTTAATGACAACTGCTCTACTGTGGAGAAATGTTACCTGACCAGGGGTTAATGACAACTGCTCTAGTGTGGAGAAATGTTACCTGACCAGGGGTTAATGACAACAGCTCTACTGTGGGGAAATGTTACCTGACCCGGTGGTAACTGAACATACTGTGGGTTACCTGTAACCAGGTAGGTGCTACAGAATAGAATACATCTTTATTGTACATATGTTACAGCGAACAACAACAAATTGTCTTCTACTCCGTTCTCAAGTAGATATAGTTACCTGGTTGAACCAGGTAGGTGTTACAGGTAGATATAGTTACCTGGTTGAACCAGGTTGGTGTTACAGGTAGATATAGTTATCTGTCTGAACCAGGTAGGTGTTACAGGTAGATATAGTTACCTGGCTGAACCAGGTAGGTGTTACAGGTAGATATAGTTACCTGGCTGAACCAGGTAGGTGTTACAGGTAGATATAGTTACCTGGCTGAACCAGGTAGGTGTTACAGGTAGATATAGTTACCTGGTTAATACAGGTAGGTGTTACAGGTAGATATAGTTACCTGGCTGAACCAGGTAGGTGTTACAGGTAGATATAGTTACCTGGCTGAACCAGGTAGGTGTTACAGGTAGATATAGTTACCTGGTTGTATCAGGTAGGTGTTACAGGACAGGTAGTTACAGGTAGATAAACACAGGTCGCTACAGGGAGATACAGGTAGATAGACACAGGTAGATACAGGTAGATAGACACATGTAGTTACAGGTAGATAGACACAGGTAGTTACAGGGAGATACAGGTAGATAGACACAGGTAGATAGACACAGGTAGTTACAGGGAGATACAGGTAGATAGACACAGGTAGATAGACACAGGTAGATACAGGTAGATAGACACAAGTAGTTACAGGGAGTTACAAGTAGGTACCTGGAAGCGGTAGAGGGTGCTGTCGGGGACCAGGACCAACTTCCTGTGGTTCTGGAGGGGGTAGATGTACCCGTAGGCCACCAGCATGGTCCCAAACGCCTGGGCCTCTGGTGGAGGAGGGAGGAGAGGAGGGAGGATAATACTTCATATATTATTAGCAAAGCTCTTGGTTATACTTTAGTTTACAGCATTTAACTAGTAATTACTTGCTTGCATAATAACATGGTAATGACGTAGTAATTACATTAAAATAATACATTTTATTGTGTTGGATTAATTGATATAAGTACCCAGCCAAATCCATTCATAGAATCCAGTTGCTTACCTTCTGTGGTAACCTTCAGTTTGGTGACTATCCATGCTAGAATGTCCTGCCCTGTGTGATGACAAGTGAACATAGATATTCAGAGTATGACAACAGTGAGCTAGCTCTCACAGGCCTGGCCTACACACACTATTTCTTGAAGGTACTACCTGGCTCAGACACAGTGCAAAATCCATCACTTAATAACAGTATGTGACAGTATACCGTATAGCTTAACTTGTGATTAGATTGATCAGGATAAACTAAAATTACAATAACAACCAGCACTGAAGCAGGAAGTCCCCATGACTGGACTGCGATGACAATTTCCTGTCTGTCACATGGTCTTAGCCCAGCGACCATCGTTCTTTCCCTTCATCTCCAGACCTCCTGTGCATCCCAAATAGCACCTTATTCCCTATATAGTGCTCTACTTTTGACCAGGACCCATAAAGCTATGTAGTGTACTGTGTAGGTAATAGGGTACCATCTGGGACGCAGCTCTGATCTTTCCCCTGGCCTTGGTCTTAGCCCAGGATTAGAGGGCAGCTTGGGAGCACAAAAGCACCACACAGATCTCATCCAACTGACAGCTGTCTTATATAACCTTCATTAGCAGCCTAGCAGGACAGTCTACAAGACAGTCTGTCGCAGCTCTAGAATCTTAGCTAGTCCAATAACTACCCACAACTTCCCAGAATGATGTTTTTAAATAACAACAATGTACCATTGGTGGGAGGTGTTTCCCTACTGTTTCCCCTACTAGGCAGCACCACTACCTAGCTTTCACAATTTCTTGACAAAAATGTATTTCTTTGAATGTTTGGGTTAGTTCAGCCCTGCTACATGGCTACGGTGGCCATTTCACTCCACCAAGAAAACGATCTAGGGCAAACATTGTAATGGTATAATGGAGATATGTCTCTCAGTGGGTTGGCTATATGGTGCTGTAAGTCTCTGGACTCACCGTTGATGACGTGTGGGATGGTGGTCACGTTGAGTTTCTGGTCGGCACCCTTCACCCCACTCTTAGGATCCTGCATCTCAACCACAAACACCTCCACCTGGAGCAGGGTGGGAGGAAGAGGACAGACACACACTCTCAAAATCCACTTTGGTTTGTTTCACGAAATGGAAGAAAACAGACCTATCAGGTCAAAGGTCATAGTGATGTGTACTGTATGATACCTCCGACCCCTGACCTCTGAGATGTGGAAGACCTGATTGGCTCAGAGCCATTTACCCCAGCTGTCCAAGCAGCTAATTGGTTTAGAGCAGGGGTTCTTAAACGTTTTTAGCTCGAGACCCAAATGAGAAATTGACCGTCCTTCTGTGACCCAAATGGTCCACCAACGACCCAAATCAAGAAGAAATAGTGGGTGATTATAGATGTATTCTCATAACTCACGACCCACCTCTCACATGCCCAGGGCCCACTTTGGGTCCCGACCCATAGTATAAGAAACCATTGTTTAGAGGTTAGATTGAAATTGGATCTCTGAGATGTCTACAATCTCTTCGCTATAAACAAAATAAATATACAGTAGCCTACAGGTCATGAAACAATAGTGTGAGTGTAGTAGTATATTTTGATGAAGCTATGCAGTTTACCACATTGAAAGTCATGATGGCATCACAACTGTTCCATTTGTAATTGGATGGGAACAGGATTATGGCTAAGTCCCCCAAGTTAAAACCTGTTGCAATAAAAAACAGTTTACAATGAACTTCTACAAACCACTTGATTCGTTTTTTTTAAGACACGAAAGGGGAAATTTAAACAACAATCTTTGGGGCTCCTCATGAATTTACTCTAGGCTATACTGTTCAGCAATACTATATCAACAAGTAGGCTATCACCAGCCCACCTAAAATCAATAGACTTGATGTGAACTTTTAGTTTATCTGAAGTCTATTACATTTTTCTCAAAACATTTAAAAGTACTGATAAAATGATGTAAATGTACAGGTAACCTACATTTTTTAGGCATGCCATCCGTGGTCGGTAGTGCTGACCATGATCTCTCAGCGTCCTAATTGTCATGTTTGCAGTCGGTCGATATGCGATCCTAAAGAAGAAAATCCAGGTATGAAATGTTTATGAAAAAAATGATCACACAGGTATAATGGTATACCGGGGCTGGGACCGTAGCCTATTCCGTTAACCGCGCGTCAGAGATTGCGTGAGAGGGGTCAGAAAGCGCGAGGACGGATTTATCAACCAACGACAGCTAGGCTAAACTCTGGTTTAACAACATGTTCCTTGTGACAGTGGCACCACCAGACGTCACACCATCAAGCGTCTATCAATTTGGTGGCAATATGGCAATAAAACCTTGAATTGAAACTTAACAGTATTTGGGTTTAAGGCTATTGAAATATTGAAATATACAGAAAATCCATGTAAAATATTTGTATACCAAGAATTTGGTGAAAGAGAAAGGATAAAACAATCTAGTTTTTTTTGCGATCACTTCACTGGACGACAAAATAATAATAATGTCTCACAGATATACTTTCATTTGATCTCTCATTTAGGCCTATGAATTTCACAGGTAACCTGGGACTGGGCTACCTCAACCAGAGATGGTGCCAAAAAAGATACCACAGGTGAAGGTGCTGGACCGACTTGACTCCCAGTGTATACACTGCCCTCTACCGTACCCAGGTGGTACTGCTGATGAATGCATGATATGAAATTATGACGATCTGCATGCAGTGCACTCTTCTGATTGTGTTGTCATGTTGTAGCCGATGTATATCTCACCTCCACGATACCACATCCGCGGAGTTGAGTGCAGACGAGAGCGTTCGGAGTGAATCTCCGATTCCGTGTATCTACGTTTGTCCTCTGTTGTTGCGTGCCTTTCTTTGTTTGTTGAAATCCTTACTTTTTAATAAAACGTTAATCAAATACAACCACCGACTGTTTCTTTGTTGCTGTATCTCCAAGATAGCAACTCAGCTTTCTAAGTGAGGCACACTTTGTGTAGGCTAAAGCATAATATTCCATGGTTTATTAGTGTAGGAAAGGTACGATTTTTCAATTGTGTTATCAATTATTATTCATATGCAATTACCTTTTGAACTAATTCCTATATTGAAATACCCCTAGCCATAAATAACTTGTAGGCTGGCCCACACAATTAATCTCAGTTACTCTATCAATTGTAATGAGTGGGGATTCAAAGTGAAACAAAATCAGAGGATATGGGCAATCTAGACCTTTTGTGATCCGCCCAAACATTTAGTCACATTGAGGGAATTCTATTACACTGGCCCGGGTTGAACCGGCCAATGGCCCGTCACAACATCGGGCGAAACTGGGAGGAGCACCCTTCTCAAATCAAACAGCAATCTGCGCCACTCGGTCATGTTCCAACAAGGCAGCTAGGTACATCCAGAAACATATAACATCTATTTTCCATAAAATAAAAATAGTTTTCATTGGGAAGGTAGATAAAGCGTTTTTATCAAAAGCAATAATTTTTGCATGTAAAAACACAGAATCCTACTCATCACTCACTTTTGTTTTGAGCCGACTTCGCCGTCGGCCAGAGTGGGGTACCTGGCTTAGGCCCGGGAGGCAGCCCGATTCCAAAACGAATGCAATCACTTTTCACCCGGTTCAAACTCCACTCACCGTGGTAACCCGGCCGGATAAACGAACCCCCTCATTGTGCTAGCCCTGTGCGCGCTCACACACACGTTATCCGTAATCGCGCCCCACCCGAGAGTAGACTCTCTAATCGCTAGCCTCAAACCAACTCTCTCTACTGTATCGATGAAGTTGTTTCAAAGATGGCGGATTTCCTGCCGTCCCGGTCCGTTTTATCGGTATGTTTTCCAAACTGTCTCCTCACGAGTAACGAGGCAGAACAATTAAGGAAATCTAAAGAAATAGACAAAAGTATTTCGCGGGATAAGACGTACGTGAAGCGGCTAGTGAAGATTCTGCTACTCGGAGCGGGAGAAAGCGGCAAGTCCACTTTCCTGAAGCAGATGCGCATCATCCATGGGCAGGACTTCGATCAAAGGGCCAAAGAAGAGTTCAGGGCCACGATTTTTAGTAATGTAATTAAAGGTAAGGTACTTTAGGTTGTTCCATTGTACTTTATATAACGTCACTGGCGAGTTTTTAGGCGCCTTTGTTGACTTATTTGCTCTCTGTTCAAGAGTTCATGTCTGTGGGAAGTAGCCAGCTAGCATGCTAACAGTAGCCGTAACTTGTGCTTGCTAGCTATGTCGAGTGGACAGGCAGACTCACTTCTGTTCTTCGTTAGCCTAGTTAGCTAGCTAACACACACAAAGCTAGAAGAAACGCCCATGTTATTTGAAAGTGTTTGTGCACAGTGGGATTTGAAGAGATGAGGCCACACAGACATAGCAGGGTTTCCATTTGAACATGATTCAGTTGTCTGAGTTGATCTTTTGATATCACGCGCATTGTTTGTCCCATGTCAATATTATTCAGGCGTGGAAAATAGTATGACAGTTTATCAGCTATTTTTATCAGGCAATTTACCAGCTAGCAGCAAGCTTTGGCTAGCCAATGCGCTAGCTGTCTAGCTTTGTTACTGTAGTTAACTTATTTATAAACTTGGTTGAGTGTTTTAAAAACATGAATCTTGAACAGTCATAGTGAAATAACTTGGTAACTAGTTTGGAAATCAGAAAGCTTAGAATTGTTTTAATCACAGCGGATATAACGTAACTAGATTACGTTTATCCTAACCATCATTGCACATATTTTAGAAAACATCATGCATGGCATATCTGACTTGTCATGTTATGGAAACCTGAGTTACAGTTCATATAAGGAAATCAGTCAATTGAAATAAATTCATTAGGCCCTAATCTATGGATTTCACGACTGGGAATACAGATATTCATCTGTTGGTCACAGATACCTTTGAAAAAATGGGCATCACAAAGGGCCTCAGGACCTTGTCACGGTATCTCTGTGCATTAAAAATTGCCATCTGTAAAATGCAATTGTGTTCGTTGTCCATAACTTATGCCTGCCCATACCATAACCCCACCGCCACCATGGGGCATTCTGTTCAAAACGTTGACATCAGCAAACCGCTCGCCCACACGACGCCATACATGTGGTCTGCGGTTGTGAGGCCTGTTGGACATACTGCCAAATTCTAAAAAATGCCATTGGAGGCGGCTTAGGGTAGAGAAATGAACATTAATTTCTCTGGCAACAGCTCTGCTGGACATTCCTGCAGTCAGCATGCCAATTGTGCGCACCCTCAAATCTTGAGACATCTGTGGAATTGTGTTGTGTGAGAGAACTGCACATTTTAGAGTGGCATATTATTGTCCCCAGCACAAGGTGCAACTGTGTAAGGATCATGCTGTTTAATCAGCTTCTTGATATGCCACACCTGTCAGTTGGATGGATTATCTTGGCAAAGAAGAAATGCTCACTAACAGGGGTGTAAACAAATTTGTGCACAACATTTGAGAGAAATAAGCTTTTTGTGCGTATGGAACATTTCTGGGATCTTTTTATTTCAGCTCATAAAACATGGGACCAACACTTTACATGTTACGTTTTATATTTTTGTTCAGTTTATAATGTGTGAATATCTCTAGCTATGGAAACCAGAGGTGGCTTGTGGGAGGAGCTATAGGAGGCCACGACCCATCTGTAAGCGTCGTAACTCTGCTGTGGTAGACAGCATGCAAGACGCGCTTCCGCGTAGCCTACCACTGTCGATCACAGCCGAGTTATAGGTGTTAGGTTCAGACGATTTCCATACAGATGTCCACACATTATACAATCCGGACCGACGGACAAGGAGTGACGGATTATAGATATGCCTTCAATAACAGGATTTTCGTTAAATACCACCCCCCCCCCCCCCCCCAAAAAAAAATACCACCCCCCCCCCCCCCCCTCCCAGTTATTTTTCGGCCTCAGCATTTGAACCACCTAGGAAGCACTGTGTCCTTTATAGGGCTAATGGTAACCATGTTGTTTTGAGGCGGCAATAAGATGTGAGGCGATCACTCATATTCCAATTGTTTATATTCACCCAGCCAGTCTGTCAAACTTGCTAGCTAGACCAATTGGCTACTTCGCTTCTTACTTAGCTAGCTAGCTATATCTTATTTTACTGTAAGTCATCTTTACTTGTCAGACCCCCGAATGTTGAGTATTTAGTTGAAAGTTCAACACCGGTGGACTTCAGTCATGTTTTACTAGCTGTATAAAATCTGAAGAGAGAGAGAGAACATGAGGGGTGTTTTTTGCCTCCAACTTGCAAGGTCAAATCAGGCCTGGTAGTCGTGAGAGCCCAGCCCACATTAGTCTACGATACTACCAGAGATGTACAGCAATACTACAGTCGGATAACTCCTGTTATGCAAACAAACAACGTCTTTTATGGAGGTGAAACCACTCTGGGTGGTTCCCCCTAGTTGGCTATTTTGTTCATTACCTTGGCTTTAGATTTTCTAGTACACACTGGTTTGTTAGTGTAGCAGTCCTGAGAAATAAAATGAGTTGTCAACTGTACAATTATAGTAATTAGGGTTGTTAACTTTTCCTTTGTGAGCCGTTTGATCATCATGAAGCTATTTATCTTAGATCTGTTATACATAGACTGAACACTCCCATTAATGTGTTCTTGACAGGTACACACGTTGACACACTCTCTCCAAAGCTTTACTCATATTAAACGGCAATGTTGAATCACTGATGTTATTTTAGATCGGTACATTACCATTATTGTCATCAGACAGGAAGAGGATGTCCCCAGTAACTCTGTGGGTGTAATGTGGGTGGGTGCAGGGGGTTCCCAGCCTCACATGATGATATCATATACTAACTGTGAAATGCATGAAGGGACAGAGAGGCGGAGGGACAGAGAGACATGGGGAGAAAGAGGGTGAGAGGGACGGAGAGACAGGGAGAGAGAGATTGGCTAAGCCCAGGTAGGACCCCCTGAGGAACGCTGTGTATTGTCTTCTATGATAGATGAATGATTGAGTCCTGAGGTTCTTCCCAAATGGCTCCCTATACACTGCTTTATACCAGAGCCATATGGGCCCTGGTATAAAGTAGTGCACCGTAAAGGGAATATGGTGCTATTTGGGACGAAGCCCCTGATGACGCTGTTATGGTCATCTTCAGCATCCCTCAGACAGGAAATATAGATATAGCCTACAGAGCTGGTGGCGAAAGGGCTGTTTTTGGACATTATCTCATCTCTCTGTCTTCTATTTGGAAACAAAGGGCCTTGGCTCATCATATTATGATTTCATTTATGTAATCCTTTCTCCCATCTGCTAAATCTCCCTTCTGCTAAATCTCCCTCCGATGAGTCTTCAGTTCTGACCTTGGGGGGGGTTGTGTTTGTTTTAGCTAAATAAATGGTCTGTGTCTGTCTCCTAAATCTAGCTGGCCTTATTTACATTCTACAGGCCAGGCCTGTTTTTCTGGACTGTATTTTATCCCTAAGAAGTGATACTGTCTCTCTGTCTGTCTGTAAGAACAGCCTAGTGCATGTCTGGATAGAATAGCCTAAGCCGAGGCATAAAAATGGCACCCTATTCCCTATATAGTGCACTACTGGTCAAAAGTAGTGCACTATATAGGGAATGGGGTGCCATTTGGGACACTCGCGTTGCATAGCGTTAATGACAGTGTCAGATTTTTCCATCAGACTCGTGAGGAGCTAGCAGGGGCCTCAAGTGTTGCACTTCCTCTTGTGATGTCATAGATGGATGGAAGGGTGGAGTTAGATCAAGGCTGAAACTCTGCGGCATCAGTCAACTTTCAGTTAAACAGAGAAGTAAAATAAACCTGTCGCAGTGCGGATCGGATCAGGTATCCCCTGTGTTATTCATTGATCTGATAGGCAGAACTGATCCTAGACCATCACTGTCTCTCCTACTCTGAGATGCTTTGTGAATATGTGCCGTGAACACCCATAGAACAGGTTGATTTCCAGGAGTATATCTGGTTAGTCTTTTCTGAATAACTGTTTAGTCCTTTCTGAATAACTGGTTAGTCCTTTCTGAGAACAACCTGCATGTGATTTGAAAAGGCTAAGGAGGGAAACCCCATCTCTCTCTCTGTCTTTCCCTGAAGGATGTGTCCCGAATGGCACCCTATTCCTATGTAGTCCTTTGGACCCAGAGCCTGCCATGGTCAGAAGTAGTGCCCTCTAAAGGGAATAGGGTGTCATTTGGGACTCAGCCTGACATTGTGTTGAGGTATGCTGTTGATGCCCTGTAAGCCCTGAGCTGATCCTGGCGCTGCGTCCCAAAACAGCACTTTATCCCCTACATAGTGCACTACTTTTGAGCAGAGCCCTATGTGCCGAAGTCAAAGACTTGATGATTAGTTGGCTAATTGAATCCGGTGTGCCAATTTAGGGTTAAAACAAAAATGTGAAACGTCGGGGGGTTGGGAAACCCTGATATAGGGAATAGGGTGCCATTTGGGACTCAAGCCTCAGCCCTGATCCACAGAGACTGCGGCCTTGCCTGAGCCATGCATGTGTTTGTGTCCTGCTATTGTTTACCCTCCCACAGCCTCTTGATGACTACTGCGCTGTGTGTGTGTGTGAAGCTGTGCCTGTTCGGCTCTGGAGGAAAGGATATGGGACACTGACTTTTATGGAACATTGGGATGGAAAGGGATTGTTTCTTTATAACATACTGGTACATCATTCTATGTCATGTAGCAATGGAATTATGTCAGTTGACATTCTACACAACATTGAATAACTGTGCTGTGTGCCAGCCAGGAGAAACCCTCTGTGTACCTCACAGAGCCAACGTTCCTTTTATTTCCCACGGAGCCTAGTGTTTCTGGTGGGTCAGGGCTTGTTGTGGTATGGATGTGGTGGTGATGAAAGAGCCTCGTTGGTTGGTGGTGGTGATGAAAGAGCCTCGTTGGTTAGGTGGTGGTGATGAAAGAGCCTCGTTGGTTGGTGGTGGTGATGAAAGAGCCTCGTTGGTTGGTGGTGGTGATGAAAGAGCCTCGTTGGTTGGTGGTGGTGGTGATGAAAGAGCCTCGTTGGTTGGTGGTGGTGATGAAAGAGCCTCGTTGGTTGGTGGTGGTGGTGATGAAAGAGCCTCGTTGGTTGGTGGTGGTGATGTGAAAGAGCCTCGTTGGTTGGTGGTGGTGATGTGAAAGAGCCTCGTTGGTTGGTGGTGGTGATGTGAAAGAGCCTCGGTGGTTGGTGGTGGTGGTGGTGAAAGAGCCTCGTTGGTTGGTGGTGGTGTGAAAGAGCCTCGTTGGTTGGTGGTGATGAAAGAGCCTCGTTGGTTGGTGGTGGTGATGAAAGAGCCTCGTTGGTGTTTGTTAGCTGCTGTCTAGAGGTCAAAGGTCATTTCGAAACAGTGACTGGAGATTGCATCAATGGAAATACTCAGAATTCCACTGATGTGAAGTAGGACACACCTCCTGTCCTCTTAGTGTCAGCAGATCAGGTGATCACTTCCTGTGTGTGTAATGACTTCATCATTACTTAGGCACAGTCTACCAACAAACCTCAGAACCTAAACTTAAGTGCCAATTCAGTGTTTTCATGTTGGCAGCTGTGGTTTGTGTTTCAGGTGCCCCGCCTAGCAGAATCTGGGGAGAACACTGTCTGACTTCTAGGAATGGGAGAAAAATGGATACATTAGAGTATCGCAAACAATTTTTGGTTGTTGCTAGGTAGCTAACGTTAGCTACTAGGTAGCGCTAGTCTTCGGGATTACTCCTCCTATAGCTTGGCCTCCATCTTCTGTTTTAAATAGTGAGCAAACATGTTTGCAGCACTTCTATGTCCCATGACTGATCAAAACCTGTTTTCTCATGGCTCTCTCTTGTCCCTCTGCAGCAGACATGGAGTGAGCAGTATGTTTGGACATCGAATCGCAATGAAACCGCAGTATCGAATCGCAATAAATCGAATCGCCTTGTAAAAGTATTCATCCCCCTTGGCGTTTTTTCCTATTTTGTTGCATTACAACCTGTAATTTAAATTGATTTTTATTTGGATTTCATGTAATGGACATACACAAAATAGTCCAAATTGGTGAAATGAAATACAAAAAATAACTTGTTTCAAAAAAAGTATTAAAAATAAATAATGGAAAAGTGGTGCGTGCATATGTATTCACCCCCTTTGCTATGAAGCCCCTAAATAAGATCTGGTGCAACCATTTACCTTCAGAAGTCACATAATTAGTTAAATAAAGTCCACCTGTGTGCAATCTAAGTATCACATGAACTGTCACATGATCTCAGTATATATACAGCTGTTTTGAAAGGCCCCAGAGTCTGCAACACCACTAAGCAAGGGGCACCACCAAGGAAGCGGCAACATGAAGACCAATGAGCTCTCCAAACAGTTTAGGGACAAAGTTGTGGAGTACAGATCAGGCTTGGGTTATACAAAAAACATCAGAAACTTTGAACATCCCACGGAGCACCATTAAATCCATTATTAAAAAATGGAAATAATATGGCACCACAACAAACCTGCCAAGAGAGGGCCGCCCACCAAAACTCACGGACCAGGAAAGGAGGGCATTAATCAGAGGCAACAAAGAGACCAAAGAAAACCCTTAAGGAGCTGCAAAGCTCCACAGCAGAGATTGGAGTATCTGTCCATAGGACCACTTTAAGCCGTACACTCCACAGAGCTGGGAAAAAAATAAGCAAACGCGTTTGGTGTTCGCCAAAAGGCATGTGGGAGACTCCAATATATGGAAGAAGGTACTCTGGTCAGATGAGACTAAAATTGAGCTTTTTGGCCATCAAGGAAAACGCTATGTCTGGCGCAAACCCAACACCTCTCATTATCCCGAGAACACCATCCCCACAGTGAAGCATGGTGGTGGCAGCATCATGCTGTGGGGATGTCTTCTCTGTGTCTCTCTCTCTCTGTCTCTCTCTCTGTCGCTCTCTCTCTGTGTCGCTCCTCTCTCTCTGTGTCGGCTCTTCCTCTTCTCTCTCTCTCTGTCGCTGCTCTCAAATGGCTCATGGCTTTTTCTACTGTGATCTATATCTGTGTTGTCTTCTCGTCACGTCCTCTCATCCTGAGTCGACTTACGGCTTGGTTCTCGCTCCTCTGTCTCAGCTCATCCGATGTTCTCTCCCTGCTCCGGCCTCTGTGTTCTCTGTCGCTCTGGTGTCATTTCTCTTGTCTCTCTCTCTGTCTCTCTCTCTGTGTCTGTCTCTCTCTCTCTCTCCTGTGTGTATCTCTCTCTCTTTCTCTGTGTTTCTCGTCTCTGTGTCTCTCTCTCTGTGTGCTTCTCAAAGAAATGACCGTCATCGGCAGTTTATTATTATTATTTTTGTCATTTAGCAGACTCTCTTATCCAGTCGACTTACAGGAGCAATTAGGGTTTAGTGCCTTGCTCAAGGGCACATCGACAGATTTTTCCCCTAGATCGGCTCGGGGATTAGAAAACCATCGACCTTTCGGTTACTGGCACCAACGCTCTAACCCACTAAGTCTAAACCCTAACCTGCCCGCCCTTATTAAAATCTCTGGCAGAGAAAGGAACTAAACTAGTGAGTAGGACTGTGGAAAGGGGGAAGCTATTATGACCCATGAGCCCCAGTGGTCTTCCTCCCACGAGAGGCTCTCTGTTCTGGCCTACGAAACCCTTAGCTGTGTTTTTAATGCATGTATGTTTGATGGCTCATTAGCATGGGGTCTAATGTGTTTCTGTGGACGTAGGCTATTGATCATTAGCATCGGGGCTAATGCGTGTGATGGATGTTTTGCCATTGATCTATTGATCTTATCCTATGGTCATTATTTCAACAGTGCAGGCCGTGTGTGAAAGCCCCTGGGTAACAGCCCTGTTTAGTGAGTGAGAGAATGTCTAAATCTCCATAGTGTCCTCATGCAGTACTATACATTCTACCTGGTAGTGAATGTCTGGGGGGTTTGTCATCTTGTATGTTGTGGCAATAATCAGATAAGCATATTACCTGTGTGTGTACAGTGATGATATTCAGAATCACACACTCTTTCTCTGTGTGATTTATAGCCAACAACTTTACAAATGAATGAACCAGCAAAAAGCATTTCCTCATTCTGATGCAAATATGCTGCTTCTGTAAAGACCTATATGTTTGGTCTTTTATGTCATGGTATGGAAATACTGGTCTGTAGCTGGCAGCCAGCCTAATAATACAACTCCTTATCAGTGGTCTGTAGCTGGCAGCCAGCCTAATAATACAACTCCTTATCAGTGGTCTGTAGCTGGCAGCCAGCCTATAATACGACTCCTTATCAGTGGTCTGTAGCTGGCAGCCAGCCTAATAATACAACTCCTTATCAGTGGTCTGTAGCTGGCAGCCAGCCTAATAATACGACTCCTTATCAGTGGTCTGTAGCTGGCAGCCAGCCTAATAATACAACTCCTTATCAGTGGTCTGTAGCTGGCAGCCAGCCTAATAATACAACTCCTTATCAGTGGTCTGTAGCTGGCAGCCAGGCCTAATAATACAACTCCTTATCAGTGGTCTGTAGCCCTTCTTCCGTTTTTATCACTACCGTCAGTTAGCACAATATAAAAACCTCTATGGCTGTAGTAGTAGTGTCCCTGTACTGCGCTTGTTGTGCATCCCAAATGACACCCTATTCTCCTTTTTATAGTGCACTACTTTTGGTCAAAAAGGCTCTGGTCATTGAGCTCTGGTCAAAAGTAGTGCAATATGTAGGGTATAGGGTGCCATTTGGGACAGTCTTACTGTAGCGTCATATATATATATATATATATATATATATATATATATATATATATATACACATACACACACACACACCACACACAGAGAGAGATCTATAGGCTGTTACTCTGTTCTGCTCTCTCTCTCTCTCTCTCTCTGTGCTTGGCATTTGGAGACTTTACAGAGCCATCCCGGTTGGCACCAAACGTTCCATGAAGACAATAACATTCTGTCTTAGAACCTTTGGTGGCAACACGGTGGCTGTTTTTAAATTCTAAACCTCAAACCAAGTTTGCCAAACTCCATAGAAATTAACTTTGAATTCTATGCCATTGCCAAACTCTATACAGTATCTATGGGCCTCCTGCCTAGCCCTGCCTTGACTCCAGTTTCTGTCAGGTCTAGGTGACTTGAATCTGTTTCAGCCCTGTCTTCACTTTGAGTTCAACAAGACTGACTTTGGTGGACTAAGTCCCAGCAGGACATGAACTGGTCTGTCTGGTTCCTAGTATCTCCCCAGAGAGATGGGTTGAGGCCAAGGCCAGGTCAACTGGGCTCAGTCTATCCTTAGCTATCAGAGCCGTCTCTCAGGATGTGTGTGTTTGACAGAGGAAGGAGGAAGGGGTGGTGGAGGGGCCCCACCTCTCACCACAGGAACCACACGCACTCCTGTCACCACACCACCAGGCAGTGTCACTGACACACGCCTGCAGACGTCACGTGGACCGACCCTTGTCAACAGCAGTATGGTAGTGGGTTAAACCATAACGTCACCAGTGTAGGGGTGATCTAACCTGCTATTCAGGGTGGGCAGTGTGTGTCAGGAGGGACCAACGGCACCATGGAAACAGTGGAACCCATTACACCCCTGGGGTGATTCCCAAACAGCACCCTATATCCTATGTAGTGAACTACCATCAGTCTCTGGTCAAAAGTAGTGCAGTATATAGGGGATAGGCTGGCGTTTGGGACGCAACCCTGCTCTCTGTGTGTTTTATATAAACACATCTTAGCTCTGTCTGGAGGACTACTGTGGTGTGTGTGTGTGTGTGTGTGTTAGTATTACTGTCCTCATTGGTACCGGAAATCCCCCAAAGTCCCCACAATGATAGGAAAACAAGGAACGTTCTCTCTGGTTTGGACATTTTATTTCCCAGGTCCCCACATGGACATGTTAGGGAGGATAGGAGTTTGAATGGAACAAAACGTTTGGTCCCCACAAGGACAAAGGATATGTTAGGGTTAGGGAGGATAGGAGTTTGAATGGAATGTGATTCATTCATAGTGAGAGTGTTGGGTGGGTGTGTGTGACCGTGTGGTCAGACAGTGGTGCTCTACGTCCCAAATAGGCATTACATTAGCTCAGTTGGCCCTGGTCAAAAGTAGTGCACTATATAGGGAATAGGGTGCCATTTGGGACAGAGCCTATGTGGTCATCTAGAGTTTCTCTAGCCCTGATCTGACCAGACAAACCGATGTCACACCATCCATAACACCACCTCACTCACTACTCTCCACATGACGTGCAGTGTTTCCTCTATATTTATTTAGCAGCGGTGGCTTGCTTTTAAATGGATAGTTGTTGGCTCAATGACTGGAAGTCTATGGGAACAGCCAGCATGTCTCTCTCTCCCCCCTCTCGTTTTTTCACCTCTCCCCCCCCCTCTCGTTCTCTCACCTCTCTCTTTGCCTCCCTATCTCTCCCTCTCTGTCGGTCTCTCTCCCCCCCCCTCTCTGTCGGTCTCTCTCCCCCCCCTCTCTCTGTCGGTCTCTCTCCCCCCCTCTCTCTGTCGGTCTCTCCCCTTCTCCCCCTTCTCTGTCGTCTCTCCCCCCCTCTCTGTCGGTCTCTCTCCCCCCCCCTCCTCTGTCGGTCTCTCCCCCCCCTCTCTCTGTCGGTCTCTCCCCCCCCTCTCTCTGTCGGTTCTCCCTCCCCCCCGCCTCTCTCTGTCTCTCTCCTCCCCCCCTCTCTCTGTCGGTCTCTCTCCCCCCCCCTCTCTCTGTCGTCTCTCCCCCCCCTCTCTCTGTCGGTCCTCTCCCCCCCTCTCTCTGTCGGTTCTCTCTTCTCTCCCCCCCCCCTCTCTCTGTCGGTCTCTCCCCCCCCCCTTCTCTCTGTCGGTCTCCTCTCTCCCCCCCTCTTCTATATAAATGCCTCCCCCCCTTTCTCTCGTGCATCTTTGTGTTGGTCCCATCCCCCCCTCTCGGTCTGTCCGGTCTCTCCCCCCCCCCTCTGCTCTGTCGGTCTCTCCCCCCCCCTCTCGCTGTCGGGCTCTCCCCCCACCCCCCCCTCTCTGTCGGTCTCTCTCCCCCCCTCTCCTCTGTCGGTCTCTCTCCCCCCCCTCTCTGTCGGTCTCTCTCCCCCTTTTCTCTGTCGGTTTCTCTCCCGCTCTCCCTCGCTCTCTCTCTCCAAGGATGTTGGTGGAAGCATGACCTTCAACTTCATGCCTAGTCATTAGCTCAGTTGGCTAACACACTCACTCAACTCTCCTCTCTCTCCCTCCCAGGTGTGCGTGTGTTGGTGGATGCCAGAGAGAAGCTCCACATCCCGTGGGGAGAGGCGTCCAACCAGGGGCACGGAGAGACCATGATGGCGTTTGACACGCGGTCGGCCAGGATGGCCCACGGTATGGTGGAGACCAGGGTCTTCTTGCAGTACCTGCCCTCCATCCGGGCTCTGTGGGCCGACACGGGCATCCAGGACGCCTACGACAGGCGCAGGGAGTTCCAGCTGGTGAGGACACACACGTAGAGAAACACACACGCAGAGAGAAAGGCCCAACATATACAACCAACAAAGGGGTTTGCAGCTGGTATGGGCACAGAGTAGTTGAGTGTTTGACACTCTCTCTCGCTCTCCCCCGCCCCCCTCCGCTCTCCCCCCCTCTCCTCCTCCCCCCTCTCCCCGCCTCCCGCCCCCCCCTCTCCCGCCCCCCCTCTCGCTCTCCCCCCTCTCCAGCTCTCTCCCCCCTCTCCAGCTCTCTCCCCCCTCTCCAGCTCTCTCCCCCCTCTCCAGCTCTCTCCCCCCTCTCCCAGCTCTCCCCCCCTCTCCAGCTCTCCCCCCTCTCCAGCTCTCCCCCCCTCTCTCCAGCTCTCCCTCCCCTCCCCCCTCTCTCCAGCTCTCCCCCCTCTCTCCAGCTCTCCCCCCTCCTCTCTCCAGCTCTCCCCCCTCTCTCCAGCTCTCCCCCCTCTCACCAGCTCTCCCGCCCCTCTCTCCAGCTCTCCCCCGCCCCTCTCTCGCTCTCCCGCCCCTCTCTCGATCGCTCCCCCCCCCCCCCCCTCTCTCCGCTCTCCCCCTCTCCCCCTCTCCGCCCCCTCTCTCCCCCTCCCCCTCTCTCGTTCCTCTCTCGCTCCCCCCCCCCTCTCGCCCTCCCGCCCTCTCTCCTCTCTCCGCCCTCCTCCTCTCCCCCTCTCTCTCTCCCCGCCCTCCTCCCTCTCCTCTGTCCTCTCCGCCTCTCTCATCTCTCTCCCTCCCCCTCTCTCTCGCTCTCCCGCCCTCTCTCTCCCTCCCCGCTCTCTCGTCTCTCCCATCCCGCCCTCCTCTCTCGCCCCTCTCTCCCTCCTCCTCTCCGCTTCTCCTCCCGCCTCCTCTCTCCCCCTCTCGTCTCCGCCTCCCCGCCCTCTCTCCCTCTCCCCCTCTCTCTCCGCTCCCCATCTCTCTCCCGCCCTCCCACTCTCTCTCCCATCTCTCTCCCGCTCTCCCATCTCTCTCTCTCTCCCCCTCCCCTCTCTCCCTCTCCCCCCTCTCCCTTCTCCCTCTCTCCCCTCTCTCCCTCCCTCTCCCCCCCCCTCCCCCTCTCTCTCTTGGTGGTGTTAATATTAGCTTGTAAAGCAGTGTGTTGTTCTCTTGTTCACCATCTATGACTGTACTGAGGACTGTGCAGGGGACTCTCCAAACTGGAGCTGATCGTCGTTTACTCTGTAAACTACCATCACTCATTCAGCCTAGGCACCGGCGCTGAGCCTCCTCCAGCTGCAATCCCTCATCCCCCCTCTCTTTATCATGATAAAACCTAGAGGATAGCCTGCAGACAGACAGACCCCACACACACACTGTTAAAGGAATAGTTCCCCCCCAATACATCAGTCTGTCAGAGCTTTGTCCTACATCATCAGTGGCTTTCCTATGTGTATGATGACATTTCAGCTGCCTTGTTCACTGTTAAGTTGCTTAGGGGCTGGTTTCCCGGACACAGATTAAAACACAGATTAAGCCAATGGTTTTGGACTAAGAATCACTTTCAATGGAGAATATTTTTAGTCTAAGACTAGGCTAATATGTGCCTTGGAAACCAGCCCAAGTGTTTGACCCTCAGACACTACAAGTAGTAGTAGTCTTTAAAATCTTTTCTGTCCTGCTGTGTTTACTAGTCATGTTGAGTCATCCTAGCTGTTGTTCTAACGCCAGATATTCACTACAAGAATCTGTCAGATATTCACTACAAGAATCTAACATCAGATATTCACTACAAGAATCTGTCAGATATTCACTACAAGAATCTGTCAGATATTCACTACAAGAATCTGTCAGATATTCACTACAAGAATCTGTCAGATATTCACTACAAGAATCTGTCAGATATTCACTACAAGAATCTGTCAGATATTCACTACAAGAATCTGTCAGATATTCACTACAAGAATCTAACATCAGATATTCACTACAAGAATCTGACATCAGATATTCACTACAAGAATCTAACATCAGATATTCACTACAAGAATCTAACATCAGATATTCACTACAAGAATCTAACATCAGATATTCACTACAAGAATCTAACATCAGATATTCACTACAAGAATCTAACGTCAGATATTCACTACAAGAATCTAACGTCAGATATTCACTACAAGAATCTAATCAGATATTCACTACAAGAATCTAACGTCAGATATTCACTACAAGTGGCCAGTTTGGGAATTTAATGTCAGATATTCACTACAAGTGGCCAGTTTGGGAATCAAACCCACTACTCTGATGGTTCATACAAACTAACACGCTCCAACCAGCTCACTCACTGAAGCCACTTTGTCACTGTTTGTCTCTGGAAGATTTTACTGCTGTAAAATCTCTCTTTGCGAAGAACACCTATACCAAGAAGTCAGGAAATCAGACATCCTACTTACTAATATTCAACATAGCCATTGAAACCAGTTCAGTGTGAACTGCACTTTGTGATTCCTGCTAAACCCACAGCTGATTCCTTGTGAAGTATCTACAGTGGTTTCTAAAGGGGTTTCTGGTAGTCTGTCTGTTTTAGGGGTGCTCCCTCATCCCAGGGAGGCTGTCATCTGAGACCCAGGGGGGGGGGGTAACGAACGGCAGCAGGCCGTACTCCCTCCCACTTCTGCTAACGCTCACGCTCACTTCCCAAAGCTTACACAGAATGGACACTCAGTTCACCACTTTCTGTTGGCTTTTCATACTTGGGTCTTTCCCCAAAGTGTTACACAGAGATTCATTTCACTATTAAAAGGAGAGGGTTAACATTTAGAGAGGCTCAATTTCTGTTGTGTTTGATGCTTGGGGCTGTTTGTGGTCTGTTTACTTTACCAAATAAATATGTCACATTTATATTGTGTATGGTAATATAAAATATTAGAGACTTTATTTTACCGTTCATCTTTAAAGTGGGATGATTTGATTTTAAACAGTTTAATGGCGCTGGAGGGAATAGCAGCCATTTTGACAGGCTCCTGACCAAATGTACTATTTTTACATGCTTACTTACGAGCAACTTTTTAACTCCGCATTGGTGGGAAAATTGCTGGTAAGTAAGCATTTCACGGTAGTCTACACCTGTTGTAAGTAAGCATTTCACGGTAGTCTACACCTGTTGTAAGTAAGCATTTCACGGTAGTCTACACCTGTTGTAAGTAAGCATTTCACGGTAGTCTACACCTGTTGTAAGTAAGCATTTCACGGGTAGTCTACACCTGTTGTAAGTAAGCATTTCACGGGTAGTCTACACCTGTTGTAAGTAAGCATTTCACGGGTAGTCTACACCTGTTGTAAGTAAGCATTTCACGGGTAGTCTACACCTGTTGTAAGCATTTCACGGGTAGTCTACACCTGTTGTAAGTAAGCATTTCACGGTAGTCTACACCTGTTGTAAGTAAGCATTTCACGGTAGTCTACACCTGTTGTAAGTAAGCATTTCACGGTAGTCTACACCTGTTGTAAGTAAGCATTTCACGGTAGTCTACACCTGTTGTAAGTAAGCATTTCACGGTAGTCTACACCTGTTGTAAGTAAGCATTTCACGGTAGTCTACACCTGTTGTAAGTAAGCATTTCACGGTAGTCTACACCTGTTGTAAGTAAGCATTTCACGGTAGTCTACACCTGTTGTATTCAGCGCATAAAATTAGACTTTCTTTGAAAACAGACTGGATAATAGTTCCACCACTAATGGCTTCTGAGATGGACACACACACACTGACACACACACACACACACACACACACACTGACACACACACTGACACACACACACACACACACACACTGACACACACACACTGACACACTGACACACACACACACACACACTGACACACACACACTGACACACACACACTGACACACACACACACACTGACACACAACTACCACACACTGACACACACACACTGACACACACACACTGACACACACACACACTGACACACACACACTGACACACACACACACTGACACACACACACTGACACACACACTGACACACACACACTGACACACCACACACTGACACACACACACACTGACACACACACACACTGACACACACACACACTGACACACACACACACTGACACACACACACTGACACACACACACTGACACACACACACTGACACACACACACTGACACACACACACTGACACACACACACTGACACACACACACTGACACACACACACACACACACACACACACACACACACTGACACACACACACATAGACACACACACACACACTGACACACACACACACTGACACACACACACACTGACACACACACACAGACACACACACACACTGACACACACTGACACACACACACACTGACACACACACACACTGACACACACAAACTAGCTTTGCCAAGAGTGTGCAAAGCTCTCATCAAGGCAAAGGGTGGCTCTACCCACATGTATATATTACCTCCATTACCCCTGCACATTGACTCTGTACCGGTACCCCCTGTATATAGCCTCGCTACTGTTATTTTTACTGCTGCTCTTTAATTATTTGTTACAATATAAAATAATACGAAATAATAGTATTTTTTTAGAATCTATTTTTTTTAATGTTTTTTTTGGGGGGGTTGGTATTCTTAACTGCATTGTTGGTTAAGGGCTTGTAAGGAAGCATTTCACTGTAAGGTCTACACCTGTTGTATTCGGCGCATGTGACAAATAAAATGATTTGATATCTGTTCCACACACTCCACTTCTAACTCAATGTTGCCCTGCGTTGATTGCACCCTCTTCAACAGAACCCAGGTCAGTGAGGGAGTGGCCAGAACACAGGCTTGTAACAGAACTCTAAAACTCTAAAGCTTTCAGTGGGGAGAGGGAGACGGGTCTAAAGCTGTGGATTAGGATTATGCAATACCTAGACTAGGGGACGGGGTGGGGAATGTTTACTTAAAGCATCAAGATCAAGTCTTGTTCTGCAGCCAGCATGTCTGCAGCAAGAGGCTTAATGTGTGTGTGTGTGTTAGAGAGTTTGTGAAAGCAGGAAGCCTGACATGTTTGGCACTCGGGACACGTGCTCCCTGGATTACTGCACACAAAGGGGTTTTGGTTAGTTTCCTCTCCTTCACCCTCCCGCTCTCTGTTGGTAGGACGAGGGACAAGTGTATGGAGTTCAAGAGTGCTGTCTTCTCCCCCATCTCTCTCTCTCTCCCCCATCTCTCTCTCGCTCCCCCATCTCTCGCTCGCTCCCCCATCTCTCTCTCTCTCACTCCCCCATCTCTCTCTCTCTCGCTCCCCCATCTCTCTCTCTCTCGCATCTCTCTCTCTCTCGCTCCCCCCATCTCTCTCTCTCGCATCTCTCTCTCTCGCATCTCTCTCTCTCGCATCTCTCTCTCTCTCGCATCTCTCTCTCTCTCGCATCTCTCTCTCTCTCGCATCTCTCTCTCTCTCTCGCATCTCTCTCTCTCTCGCATCTCTCTCTCTCGCTCCCCCATCTCTCTCTCTCGCTCCCCCATCTCTCTCTCTCGCTCCCCCATCTCTCTCTCTCTCGCTCCCCCATTTCTCTCTCTCTCTCGCTCCCCCATTTCGCGCTCTCTCGCTCTCTCACTCTCTCTCCCATCTCTCTTTCTCTCGCTCTCTATCAGTGCTGAGGATCAGTGCTGGGCAGGCTGCTGCTCACTGTCATGTCCCCTCATGTCCGGACCAGCATACTCTGAGTGTGTGTGTGTGTGTGTGTGTGTGTGTGTGTGTGTGCAGCAGCAATCCCAGAAGCCATTAGTAGAGGAACTGTCCAGTTTAATGGCCAGTAGATGCAGAGTCTCTCCAGAGTGTGTTTCAGCTGAGTCCTGAAATGACCCTTTCCCCCTCATATCTGAGTTTCCATTCTTCCAGATAATCTAAGTCTAAGAGGGAGGGAAGGAGCTGTAAAAGAAAGAGAACGTGTGAGGGGGAGGGGGGGGGGGGGGGTTAGGGAAAGAGGAATGGAGATATACAAAGGAAGGGAAGGAAAGAAGGGGGGGTGGAGGAATAGAGAAGGAGAGGGAGGAACGGAGGGATTGATCCATAAAGGAATGTTGAGCTGTGATTAGACCTTGGGCTCCGTGCAACACCAGCCCATCACAAGAGAGCCAGCACACTCCCCATCTGATTGGACCACACACACATACACCTTTTGATATGTATTTGCTGTTATGATTCCTGTTGTCATGTATTTTTAAATTGCTGAGACCAATTTCCCATTGTGGGACAATGACGTCAACTATTACTATACACCTCCCACAGTCTGTCACCCTAGGCCGGTCAGGTTCCTCTAAATTCTACAGATATATTAGCCCTGTGGTAGTAGCAGTCAACACTACAGATAATATATTAGCCCTGTGGTAGTAGCAGTCAACACTACAGATAATATATTAGCCCTGTGGTAGTAGCAGTCAACACTACAGATAATATATTAGCCCTGTGGTAGTAGCAGTCAACACTACAGATAATATATTAGCCCTGTGGTAGTAGCAGTCAACACTACAGAGAATATATTAGCCCTGTGGTAGTAGCAGTCAACACTACAGATAATATATTAGCCCTGTGGTAGTAGCAGTCAACACTACAGATAATATATTAGCCCTGTGGTAGTAGCAGTCAACACTACAGATAATATATTAGCCCTGTGGTAGTAGCAGTCAACACTACAGATAATATATTAGCCCTGTGGTAGAAGCAGTCAACACTACAGATAATATATTAGCCCTGTGGTAGTAGCAGTCAACACTACAGATAATATATTAGCCCTGTGGTAGAAGCAGTCAACACTACAGATAATATATTAGCCCTGTGGTAGTAGCAGTCAACACTACAGATAATATATTAGCCCTGTGGTAGTAGCAGTCAACACTACAGATAATATATTAGCCCTGTGGTAGTAGCAGTCAACACTACAGATAATATATTAGCCCTGTGGTGACAGCAGTCAACACTACAGATAATATATTAGCCCTGTGGTAGAAGCAGTCAACACTACAGATAATATATTAGCCCTGTGGTAGTAGCAGTCAACACTACAGATAATATATTAGCCCTGTGGTAGTAGCAGTCAACACTACAGATAATATATTAGCCCTGTGGTAGTAGCAGTCAACACTACAGATAATATATTAGCCCTGTGGTAGTAGCAGTCAACACTACAGATAATATATTAGCCCTGTGGTAGTAGCAGTCAACACTACAGATAATATATTAGCCCTGTGGTAGTAGCAGTCAACACTACAGATAATATATTAGCCCTGTGGTAGCAGCAGTCAACACTACAGATCATATATTAGCCCTGTGGTAGCAGCAGTCAACACTACAGATAATATATTAGCCCTGTGGTAGTAGCAGTCAACACTACAGATAATATATTAGCCCTGTGGTAGTAGCAGTCAACACTACAGATAATATATTAGCCCTGTGGTAGTAGCAGTCAACACTACAGATCATATATTAGCCCTGTGGTAGCAGCAGTCAACACTACAGATCATATATTAGCCCTGTGGTAGCAGCAGTCAACACTACAGATAATATATTAGCCCTGTGGTAGTAGCAGTCAACACTACAGATAATATATTAGCCCTGTGGTAGTAGCAGTCAACACTACAGATAATATATTAGCCCTGTGGTAGTAGCAGTCAACACTACAGATAATATATTAGCCCTGTGGTAGTAGCAGTCAACACTACAGATAATATATTAGCCCTGTGGTAGTAGCAGTCAACACTACAGATAATATATTAGCCCTGTGGTAGTAGCAGTCAACACTACAGATAATATATTAGCCCTGTGGTAGCAGCAGTCAACACTACATATAATATATTAGCCCTGTGGTAGTAGCAGTCAACACTACAGATAATATATTAGCCCTGTGGTAGTAGCAGTCAACACTACAGATAATATATTAGCCCTGTGGTAGTAGCAGTCAACACTACAGATAATATATTAGCCCTGTGGTAGTAGCAGTCAACACTACAGATAATATATTAGCCCTGTGGTAGTAGCAGTCAACACTACAGATAATATATTAGCCCTGTGGTAGTAGCAGTCAACACTACAGATAATATATTAGCCCTGTGGTAGTAGCAGTCAACACTACAGATAATATATTAGCCCTGTGGTAGTAGCAGTCAACACTACAGATAATATATTAGCCCTGTGGTAGTAGCAGTCAACACTACAGATAATATATTAGCCCTGTGGTAGTAGCAGTCAACACTACAGATAATATATTAGCCCTGTGGTAGTAGCAGTCAACACTACAGATAATATATTAGCCCTGTGGTAGTAGCAGTCAACACTACAGATAATATATTAGCTCTGTGGTAGAAGCAGTCAACACTACAGATAATATATTAGCCTGTGGTAGAAGCAGTCAACACTACAGATAATATATTAGCCCTGTGGTAGAAGCAGTCAACACTACAGATAATATATTAGCTCTGTGGTAGTAGCAGTCAACACTACAGATAATATATTAGCCCTGTGGTAGTAGCAGTCAACACTACAGATAATATATTAGCTCTGTGGTAGTAGCAGTCAACACTACAGATAATATATTAGCCCTGTGGTAGTAGCAGTCAACACTACAGATAATATATTAGCCCTGTGGTAGTAGCAGTCAACACTACAGATAATATATTAGCCCTGTGGTAGTAGCAGTCAACACTACAGATAATATATTAGCCCTGTGGTAGTAGCAGTCAACACTACAGAGAATATACACTGCTCAAAAAAATAAAGGGAACACTTAAACTACACAATGTAACGCCAAGTCAATCACACTTCTGTGAAATCAAACTGTCCACGTAGGAAGCAACACTGATTGACAATAAATTTCACATGCTGTTGTGCAAATGGAATAGACAACAGGTGGAAATTATAGGCAATTAGCAAGACACCCCCAATAAAGGACTGGTTTTGCAGTTGGTGACCACAGACCACTTCTCAGTTCCTATGCTTCCTGGCTGATGTTTAGGTCACTTTTGAATGCTGGCGGTGCTTTCACTCTAGTGGTAACATGAGACGGAGTCTACAACCCACACAAGTGGCTCAGGTAGTGCAGCTCATCCAGGATGGCACATCAATGCGAGCTGTGGCAAGAAGGTTTGCTGTGTCTGTCAGCGTAGTGTCCAGAGCATGGAGGCGCTACCAGGAGACAGGCCAGTACATCAGGAGACGTGGAGGAGGCCGTAGGAGGGCAACAACCCAGCAGCAGGACTGCTACCTCCGCCTTTGTGCAAGGAGGAGCAGGAGGAGCACTGCCAGAGCCCTGCAAAATGACCTCCAGCAGGCCACAAATGTGCATGTGTCTGCTCAAACGGTCAGAAACAGACTCCATGAGGGTGGTATGAGGGCCCGACGTCCACAGGTGGGGGTTGTGCTTACAGCCCAACACCGTGCAGGATGTTTGGCATTTGCCAGAGAACACCAAGATTGGCAAATTCGCCACTGGCGCCCTGTGCTCTTCACAGATGAAAGCAGGTTCACACTGAGCACGTGACAGAGTCTGGAGACGCCGTGGAGAACGTTCTGCTGCCTGCAACATCCTCCAGCATGACCGGTTTGGCGGTGAGTCAGTCATGGTGTGGAGTGGCATTTCTTTGGGGGGCTGCACAGCCCTCCATGTGCTCGCCAGAGGTAGCCTGACTGCCAATAGCTCCCGAGATGAGATCCTCAGACCCCTTGTGAGACCATGTGCTGGTGCGGTTGGCCCTGGGTTCCTCCTAATGCAAGACAATGCTAGACCTCATGTGGCTGGAGTGTGTCAGCAGTTCCTGCAAGAGGAAGGCATTGATGCTATGGACTAGCCCGCCCGTTCCACAGACCTGAATCCAATTGAGCACATCTGGGACATCATGTCTCGCTTCATCCCCCATGCCACGTTGGACCACAGACTGTCCAGGAGTTGGCGGATGCTTTAGTCCAGGTCTGGGAGGAGATCCCTCAGGAGACCATCCGCCACCTCATCAGGAGCATGCCCAGGCGTTGTAGGGAGGTCATACAGGCACGTGGAGGCGACACACACTACTGAGCCTCATTTTGATATTACAGATAATATATTAGCCCTGTGGTAGTAGCAGTCAACACTACATATAATATATTAGCCCTGTGGTAGTAGCAGTCAACACTACAGAGAATATATTAGCCCTGTGGTAGTAGCAGTCAACACTACAGATAATATATTAGCCCTGTGGTAGCAGCAGTCAACACTACAGATAATATATTAGCCCTGTGGTAGTAGCAGTCAACACTACAGATCATATATTATCCCTTTGGTAGCAGCAGTCAACACTACAGATAGGGTAGACCGATATATTGTTTCACCAATACTATCGCCTGATATCAGCTTTTTACAATATAGCCTATCGATCTGTTAATTTCACGAATACCCGATATTGAATAAATAGGATGAAAAAAGGGAATCTCAAGCTGATCTGGACACTTGCAGCCATTCTCATGACGTCATTATTGTCACAATGTAAGAAATCAACATTTGAAGCATTTCTTGGACAATTTGCTCTTTTGGATGGCAATTTATGAGAACGCTGTGTGGGGAAAAAAATAACACTTTTTAAAATTTCCCCCTGGAAACAGTATATCTGCAGATTATATCATTATCAGTAAGTTTTGTCACCCCAAAAATGAGAATCTGTATCGGACCCAAAACCCCTATATGGATGGAGCTCTAACTACAGATACTGTAATGGTAGCATTACACGCTGACTACAGGCTTCTCTTCAGGTACCAGTCACCCCAGAGACCGTAACCACAGTAATCCATCCTGGTTACCATAACATTACACGCTGACTACAGGCTTCTCTTCAGGTTCCAGTCACCCCAGAGACCGTAACCACAGTAATCCATCCTGGTTACCATAACATTACACGCTGACTACAGGCTTCTCTTCAGGTTCCAGTCACCCCAGAGACCGTAACCACAGTAATCCATCCTGGTTACCATAACATTACACGCTGACTACAGGCTTCTCTTCAGGTACCAGTCACCCCAGAGACCGTAACCACAGTAATCCATCCTGGTTACCATAACATTACACGCTGACTACAGGCTTCTCTTCAGGTTCCAGTCACCTCAGAGACCGTAACCACAGTAATCCATCCTGGTTACCATAACATTACACGCTGACTACAGGCTTCTCTTCAGGTTCCAGTCACCCCAGAGACCGTAACCACAGTAATCCATCCTGGTTACCATAACATTACACACTGACTACAGGCTTCTCTTCAGGTACCAGTCACCCCAGAGACCGTAACCACAGTAATCCATCCTGGTTACCATAACATTACACGCTGACTACAGGCTTCTCTTCAGGTACCAGTCACCCCAGAGACCGTAACCACAGTAATCCATCCTGGTTACCATAACATTACACGCTGACTACAGGCTTCTCTTCAGGTTCCAGTCACCCCAGAGACCGTAACCACAGTAATCCATCCTGGTTACCATAACATTACACGCTGACTACAGGCTTCTCTTCAGGTTCCAGTCACCCCAGAGACCGTAACCACAGTAATCCATCCTGGTTACCATAACATTTTGATCCTCTTCATTCTAGAGAAATATTTTGACAGTTGGTGACAGTTGATCGTCCACCTGCCTCAGAGTCTAGCAGCAGATAGCAGGATGACGTCAAAGTAGAGGCAAGTCTGAGGGGATGTGGTTTCCTTACGCGTGTCAAACTGTTGCTCAACTGGGTAGGGTTACGCAGGGGAAGTGAAAGCACTGTCAAACTGACGCACTCTCTCTCACACACACACACACACACGCACACACACACACACACACACACTTCTATTTGGTCAGCAGTATGCCAGGTCAGATGGATTAGGTTAGATAGACTAGAGAATGTCATATTACTTCAGCTGGTTCAGTTGGGACAGGAGGACAATATTCCATTAAATTATTATGTTCTATTTCACCCTAGAACATTCTATTCTATCATTCTGTTCTATTCCACCCTAGAACATTCTATTCTATCATTCTGTTCTATTCCACCCTAGAACATTAGATTCTATCATTCTGTTCTATTCCACCCTAGAACATTAGATTCTATCATTCTGTTCTATTCCACCCTAGAACATTAGATTCTATCATTCTGTTCTATTCCACCCTAGAACATTAGATTCTATCATTCTGTTCTATTCCACCCTAGAACATTAGATTCTATCATTCTGTTCTATTCCACCCTAGAACATTAGATTCTATCATTCTGTTCTATTCCACCCTAGAACATTAGATTATATCATTCTGTTCTATTCCACCCTAGAACATTCGATTATATCATTCTACTCTCTTCGAATCAATGCCATTCTATTCCATTGATATTTGTTTGTTCCATGATGTTCTATCACGCTGTTCTATTCCATTCTAATCCAAATCACTTCCCAATGGATTCTACCTAATCAGTTTTCTACCCCTTTCTGTATTGGTTTGGTCCATGTGATTTTGGAGCCACTGTCTCGCCACAGTGATCTGCTCTGCTCGGTGTTGTTGGTCTGACTGGAAGCTTAAATAGTTTAGTGGAAATGCTTCTATTATGACTGTACACTGGTTTGGCAAAGCTTCAAACACTGTCTATGGGTTTTCTTACTCTTCCTCTCTCACTCTTACACACGCTCTCCCTCTCTCTGAAGTTCCTACATATCTCTCTCGCTCTTTCTGTCTCTCTTTATTATTTTATTGCTGTTAGTAGAACATCACAAGACAAACGGGCACCGTCTGCGTCTCACATTAAAATCCTCAAAGCTTTATTTGAATGTCAGGTTCACCTGTGTAACCAGACAGTTGTATACAAACCTGTGGCGTGAAAGTTGATGGCAGTTACGTTCAAATAAGACTAAGTTGTTCTCAGGAAAGGAAAAAGACTGTCATCTGATAATTAGCACATTAACCATGTGGGAACCAGAAACAGGCCTGTAAAGACCTACTGTTTTAACTCTTAGTATCAGTCACTTCTTCTGGAAACTATTTGTTTGTCAGTGTTCCTTCATTCTATTTCTGTTGTCATACCATCTCCGTGACTAATATCTCGAGGTTTAACCACAACAGCAGTCTTGGGGTCTTTTCCCCATGTTGTCTATGTGAGTCACACAAGAGACTTTTTAAAAGTTTCAGGTGACAGAGTGGAACCCTGAGTGGGATGATTAACAGCGTGACTGAATCATTCAGACTTGTTTATGTGTTTAACAGTTTCAGGTGACGTGGATAAGGTTGCCCGCTTGCCCCTGGATGCTAATCTAAAGCCATGGTAAACACTACCTAGTCCTTCTGCTAGTGGCCCCCTTCTGGTTTCACAGCACCTCACATGCCCCCTATGTTAGCACCGACTAAGAAAGTCCCACAGAAGTAGTTGTGTTAGGAGGAGGGGGGTTCCCCATAGAATAGAGTGTGTTGGGATCTATGGCTCTTTAGGGCGTCGCCTGTCTACTCCTCCTCTCACCCTGTATCCTGCTGGTAGTGCTACCTCTGTGGTTTCATTACATTTTACATTTTAATCATTTAGCAGACGCTCTTATCCAGAGCGACCTACAGTTAGTGAATATATATTTTTTTTATACTGGCCCCCCGTGGGAATCGAACCCACAACCCTGGCGTTGCAAACGCCATGCTCTATCAACTGAGCTACATCCCTGCCGGCCATTCCCTCCCCTACCCTGGACGACGCTGGGCCAATTGTGCGCCGCCCATGAGTCTCCCGGTCGCGGCCGGCTGCGACAGAGCCTGGATTCGAACCAGGATCTCTAGTGGCACAGTTAGCACTGCGATGCAGTGCCTTAGACCACTGCGCCACTCAGGAGTACTTCATCCTCCTGGGGGTTAAGGCATCGTGTCTCCACTACCCACGGCTGGTAGTGCTACCTCTGTGGTTTCATCCTCCTGGGGGTGAAGGCATCGTGTCTCCACTACCCACGGCTGGTAGTGCTACCTCTGTGGTTTCATCCTCCTGGGGGTGAAGGCATCGTGTCTCCACTACCCACGGCTGGTAGTGCTACCTCTGTGGTTTCACAGCTGTACTGTGTGCTTGTGGTGTTTTCCAGGCCACAGCTCGGTTTCTCACTCTCTCCTCTACCACTTTACTCAATTTATAACATTTTTGACATGCGTTTTTCTGGATTTTTTTGTTGTTATTCTGTCTCTCACTGTTCAAATAAACCTACCATTAAAATTATAGACTGATCATGTCTTTGTCAGTGGGCAAACTTACAAAATCAGCAGGGGATCAAATACTTTTTTCCCCTCACTGTAGGTGCTGCTGTATGCCCTCCTTGGTTGGTGACAGAAGCGCCAGATCATCAGCAAACAGTAGACATTTGACTTCAGATTCTAGTCTCTCTCTCTCACATGCCCTGCACAATGTCTCATGTCACCGTCAGACCTCGCCCCCTCTATCTCTCTCGCGCTCTCTCTCGCTCTGTGTCCCAGAACATTAAGATGGACTCAAACACACACACACACACACACACTCTCCTTCTTCTTGTTTGTTTGTTTCTACTGCTTCCTGAGCAGCTTGTTCCCATTACTCAGTGTTTAGTTTATAGATGCAGCTTGTTCCCATTACTGAGGGTTTAGTTTATAGATGCAGCTTGTTCCCATTACTCAGGGTTTAGTTTATAGATGCAGTGTGGGTGTTTGTTCTGAGATCTCTGCATTTCCTGCTTAGTCAGGCGGTCACAGGAAGTGAGTTTCGCCACATCGCCTTGATTTTCACGCAGCGCTGCTGTTTGTGTGTGTGTTTGCGCTCTGTGTGTGTCAGAGGTCAACACACTTTTCTTGTCTTCCTGTTTTAACCGAGTGTTTTAAAGGAGGCCTTGGCGTTTCATATCCACCCACACCAGCAGTACTTTTGAATAACATTAATATGAATAATAGGACTTCTGCAGTAAGTGTGCTTGTACTCTGAATAACTGAACAAATATGACATTAATGTCCTCTCTTTGTCTCTCTCTCTATCTCAGGGGGAATCTGTGAAGTATTTCCTGGATAATTTGGAAAAGCTGGGACAGCCGGTAAGTCCCACCTATCTCTCTGACACTCGGCCAATCACTAATGTACAGAGGAATAAACACATGTATTCACTACAGCAGATGAAATAACAGTCAGAATGAAAAGAGAAGTGAAGCCATCAGTCTCTCCTTCTGTCCTTCTCCTCCCTCTGTCATTCTATCCATCTCCTCACATCTCTCCATCTCTCTCTGAGATGTCAGGTTGTGTTGCTAGCTAAGGTCTGATCTCCTGACTAAAGAGGATGTGGAGCAGAGCTGAGAGGGAGAGGGGGAAACTGACCTCTGTCTCTCTCTCTCTCTCTACCTCTCTCAACTTGTCTCTCTGTTCTTTACTGACAGTGCAGAGGAATGAGGTGTGTGTGTTTAGTGTGTGGGTATCTCTGTATTCCTGGTTGGTATCCTGGTGATGGCTTTTCCAGTGCAGCCTGACCTTTGATGTCACAGCGTCTAGAATGTCAGGAATTCTCCTCTGGCGTGGAACACACACACACAGACACACACACACACACAGAGACACATTCTGCTTTGCACTTCACTTTGGGAAGATGTTTTTATAACAGGGGGATAATAAAAAGTCATGAAAGATTAAACAGGTTCTATAAAGATTCCCTGAGATAGGAGTCATTCCCTGAGATAAGAGTCATTCCCTGAGATAGGAGTCATTCCCTGAGATAGGAGTCATTCCCTGAGATAGGAGTCATTCCCTGAGATAGGAGTCATTCCCTGAGATAGGAGTCATTCCCTGAGATAGGAGTCATTCCCTGAGATAGGAGTCATTCCCTGAGATAGGAGTCATTCCCTGAGATAGGAGTCATTCCCTGAGATAGGAGTCATTCCCTGAGATAGGAGTCATTCCCTGAGATAGGAGTCATTCTGTTTATGACAGATCAAATTTCACTCTGTGGTGACTTGTTTCCTGACACCAGTTTTTGGGAAGATCTCCCTCCTTCATTTTGGGAAGATCTCCCTCCTTCATTTTGGGAAGATCTCCCTCCTTCATTTTGGGAAGATCTCCCTCCTTCATTTTGGGAAGATCTCCCTCCTTCATTTTGGGAAGATCTCCCTCCTTCATTTTGGGAAGATCTCCCTCCTTCATTTTGGGAAGATCTCCCTCCTTCATTTTGGGAAGATCTCCCTCCTTCATTTGGGGAAGACCTCCCTCCTTCATTTGGGGAAGACCTCCCTCCTTCAGTGTGTGAAGACCTCCCTCCTTCCCTTCCTCCAGTTTGTGAAGACCTCCCTCCTTCCCTTCCTCCAGTGTGTGAAGACCTCCCTCCTTCCCTTCCTCCAGTTTGTGAAGACCTCCCTCCTTCCCTTCCTCCAGTTTGTGAAGTTCTCCCTCCCTCCAATTTGTGAAGATCTTGTTTTATTATGTCTGCATGTTCTCATGTTGTCTTTTTGGTCTCTTCGCTTTCACTCCTTCTGTGCTGTGCACCTTCCCATTTAGACACACACACCAAGCCCCTCCCCCTGCCACTCACAACAACAAAGATGAGAGATCACTTCTTCCTCTCTGACAAGCGGTTTCAACTCGCTATTTGTATTTGAGGTTTGGTCCAACAGAATCGGTCATATGGACACTGGAAACACATTGAGACGTTATTATTTTACTGTAATAGAGGAGAAGTTAACCTTTCCAATAATTTTTATGTCTGAACTCCTAAAATTGAGTGCAGAGCAGACACTACTAAAATGGGAGTATCAATGAACATTGATTCTGGAAAATTAATGCTCAGTTTGTCACACGCAGCATTGCGGTACCACATACCACTAGCAGCATTTTAGCCAGGCTGTTATACTAGCTGTCTAGTCTGTGTTTTATAAATGTGCAATGAGCATAAAACACAATTATATAAGGAATTGGCAACTCGTTCTCATTCTGAGAAATAAGGTAGGCCACTTGATTTCACCATCTGAACAAAGTGAACAGGCTAGCATGGTGTTCAAACAGTTGGAGAAGGACAGGAGGGTGTGTTCATAACAATTCAACTGTTCTACCTTGTTAGCTAGCAAATCTCTCTCATTCTCTCTCTCTCTCTCTCTCTCTCTCTCTCTCTCTCTCTCTCTCTCTCTCTCTCTCTCTCTCTCTCTCTCTCTCTCTCTCTCATATTGTCTCTCTCTCTCTCATATTGTCTCTCTCTCCTCCCCCCCCCCCCCCCCCCCTCCAGGACTACCTGCCGACTCAGCAGGATATTCTCCTAGCCCGTAAGCCTACCAAGGGCATCCATGAGTACGACTTTGAGATCAAGAACGTTCCATTTAAGATGGTGGACGTGGGGGGTCAAAGGTCGGAAAGAAAGAGATGGTTTGAGTGTTTTGACTCTGTCACCTCCATCCTCTTCCTTGTGTCCTCTTCAGAGTATGACCAGGTGGGTTTACAGACACACACTCTCTATTTCACACACACACACCCTACTCCCCTAACCTCCTCTCCTCCCCCCCAGGTGTTGATGGAGGACCGTCAGACCAACCGTCTCAGCGAGTCTCTCAACATCTTCGAGACGATCGTCAACAATCGGGTCTTCTCCAACGTCTCCATCATCCTGTTCCTCAACAAGACAGACCTTCTGGAGGACAAGGTGCGCTCCGTCCCCATCAAGGACTATTTCCCAGAGTACCCCGGGGAGCCACACAGCCTGGCCGACGTACAGAGGTTCCTAGTGGACTGTTTCCGGGGGAAGAGGAGGGACGTGACACAGAAGCCCCTGTACCACCACTTCACAACAGCCATCAACACGGAGAACATTCGCCTGGTATTCCGAGACGTCAAGGACACCATCCTCCACGACAACCTAAAGCAGCTCATGCTGCAGTGATCGCAGGGGGGTTATGACCTTTTGAAGTCACCTTTTGGCCTGTGACCCCTCACCGTGACCCCCTGACCTGCAATGATTGCAGGGCGATGAACAGAGAGCAACAGAGTTGTATTGTGCTACACTGTGACGTGTCGTGACCTTTTAAGTCACCTTATGACCCTTGACCTTTAACCCCACATCTGTCTGTGAGCCCTCACCTTGACCCCCTGACCTCCAGTCACCCCTGGTGCAGGCTGTCACCTATGACCCTTGACCACTGAACCCTGTTACCACTTCTAATGGCCTTGTACCTGGCTGTTCTATCCCGATTTCCCCCCCCCCTCTAAAACCACTGTAAATGAGCTCTCCCAGTCCCTCCTATCCTCACACACAAACACACACACCCCTCTCCTCTCTGTAATGGACTATTCCAGAGCCGCCTCCTCACACACACCCCTCTCCTCTCTGTAATGGACTATTCCAGAGCCGCCTCCTCACACACACCCCTCTCCTCTCTGTAATGGACTATTCCAGAGCCGCCTCCTCACACACACCCCTCTCCTCTCTGTAATGGACTATTCCAGAGCCGCCTCCTCACACACACCCCTCTCCTCTCTGTAATGGACTATTCCAGAGCCGCCTCCTCACACACACCCCTCTCCTCTCTGTAATGAACTATTCCAGAGTCTGTACATATGTTGATATGTTCTGTTCACTCTTAACTCCTGGGTGTAGGATGAAGTTTCCCTTAGACGCTGATCTTGGGTCCGTTTTTCATTTCCCCCACTAATAGGTAAGGTCAGGATGGAAGGGGAGGGGAGGGGAAGCTGATCCTAGATCTTTTGTGTTCTATATTAGTATATTCACTCTGTTGGTTCACTCTTAACTGTCACACTGTAACCTGTCTGAGCAGCCCAGACCACTGCTGGAGGTTAGCGGTCAAGGGTGAGGGGTCAACTGGCATTTCTGTGTTGGGGGGGGTCAAAGGTTGTCTCCCACGGCAACTAGGGAAGAGTGGTGGTAACGCTGTAAAACAAATTGCAAGATTGAGGAAGAGTAGGAGGAAGATGGTGATGACTCTGTTTTACTGGCGTCAGCCTGTCACTGCACCTCCACTCCCACCACCCACCTGCCTTGAACTGGCTTGATTCTACGCTTCCTTTTCCCTCAGAGCTTGATTATGTCATCACCGTGGACTCCGACCATTCTGAGAGCAAATCATTCCCCGTGTCACTATCTGGATGTGGAACAGAAAAACCAACCGCCAGCGGAGAGCTTGTTTGTTGTTGTTGTTGTTGCAGGGGGGGACGTTAAAGAGTGGGGGACTTTACAGCACTGTACTAAAACTAATCCTTAATGATTCCACAGCCTGGTGATTACCTACCAAACAGCGCTATACACACACACACCACCCTTAGAGACTTGTTCTGACCTGATCCCTGTCTTAGTCCTGGCCTTACTGTTTGGAACTTTAGTTTTTTGATCAGTTTAATTTCTTTGGATTTTCCGCCTAGTTTTTTTTTAACATAAATAGATGTATTATGAATATATGTACCTAAACATTCTCTTAAGTTATATTTGAAAGGTTTTACTGCTGATGGACAGTGTTAAAGGCTATGGAAGAGGGTCTGAGCACAGACACAGACATACCACTCAGACCAGTCGATAAACTACTGAGCTGATTCTCAGGACACATTGTGGACCACTTATTTGTGTATTTAGAGCAATGATATTCACTTGCCTAAGTCCTGACACACAGGTACAGGCAGCTGTCCATCAGAGGCTGGTAGTCTAAACAACTTGCCGGCCGGTGATATCCCCTCTTCCAGTCCTCCTTTTTTCTCTGTCTGTCTGGCTCTCTGTCTGTCTGGCTGTCTGTGTGTGTGTGTGTGTGTGTGTAAGCAAGTGATCAGCCTTGTAAACCCTGTGGAGTCTCATCCTAGAGGGAAGAGAACGTGATCAGCCTTGTAAACCCTGTGGAGTCTCATCCTAGAGGGAAGAGACTGTGATCAGCCTTGTAAACCCTGTGGAGTCTCATCCTAGAGGGAAGAGACAGTGATCAGCCTTGTAAACCCTGTGGAGTCTCATCCTAGAGGGAAGAGAACGTGATCAGCCTTGTAAACCCTGTGGAGTCTCATCCTAGAGGGAAGAGACTGTGATCAGCCTTGTAAACCCTGTGGAGTCTCATCCTAGAGGGAAGAGACAGTGATCAGCCTTGTAAACCCTGTGGAGTCTCATCCTAGAGGGAAGAGAACATGATCAGCCTTGTAAACCCTGTGGAGTCTCATCCTAGAGGGAAGAGACTATGATCAGCCTTGTAAACCCTGTGGAGTCTCATCCTAGAGGGAAGAGAACGTGATCAGCCTTGTAAACCCTGTGGAGTCTCATCCTAGAGGGAAGAGACAGTGATCAGCCTTGTAAACCCTGTGGAGTCTCATCCTAGAGGGAAGAGACAGTGATCAGCCTTGTAAACCCTGTGGAGTCTCATCCTAGATGGAAGAGACAGTGATCAGCCTTGTAAACCCTGTGGAGTCTCATCCTAGAGGGAAGAGACTGTGATCAGCCTTGTAAACCCTGTGGAGTCTCATCCTAGAGGGAAGAGACTGTGATCAGCCTTGTAAACCCTGTGGAGTCTCGTCCTAGAGGGAAGAGACTGTGATCAGCCTTGTAAACCCTGTGGAGTCTCATCCTAGAGGGAAGAGACTGTGATCAGCCTTGTAAACCCTGTGGAGTCTCATCCTAGAGGGAAGAGACTGTGATCAGCCTTGTAAACCCTGTGGAGTCTCATCCTAGAGGGAAGAGACAGTGATCAGCCTTGTAAACCCTGTGGAGTCTCATCCTAGAGGGAAGAGAACGTGATCAGCCTTGTAAACCCTGTGGAGTCTCATCCTAGAGGGAAGAGACTGTGATCAGCCTTGTAAACCCTGTGGAGTCTCATCCTAGAGGGAAGAGACAGTGATCAGCCTTGTAAACCCTGTGGAGTCTCATCCTAGAGGGAAGAGAACGTGATCAGCCTTGTAAACCCTGTGGAGTCTCATCCTAGAGGGAAGAGACAGTGATCAGCCTTGTAAACCCTGTGGAGTCTCATCCTAGAGGGAAGAGACAGTGATCAGCCTTGTAAACCTTGTGGAGTCTCATCCTAGACATACTTTTTCCTGACAGAGATGAGAGTAAGGGGGAAACTGTGTCATTTACATTTACGTCATTTAGCAGACGCTCTTATCCAGAGCGACTTACAAATTGGTGCATTCACCTTATAGCCAGTGGGATAACCACTTTACAATGTGTTTTTTATTTTTATTTTTTGGGGGTGGGGTAAAAGGATTACTTTATCCAATCCCAGGTATTCCTTAAAGAGGTGGGGTTTCAAATGTCTCCGGAAGGTGGTGAGTGACTCCGCTGTCCTAGCGTCGTGAGGGAGCTTGTTCCACCATTGGGGTGCCAGAGCAGCGAACAGTTTTGACTGGGCTGAGTGGGAACTATGCTTCCGCAGAGGAAGGGGAGCCAGCAGGCCAGAGGTGGATGAACGCAATGCCCTCGTTTGGGTGTAGGGACTGATCAGAGCCTGAAGGTACGGAGGTGCCGTTCCCCTCACAGCTCCGTAGGCAAGCACCATGGTCTTGTAGCAGATGCGAGCTTCAACTGGAAGCCAGTGGAGTGTGCGGAGGAGCGAGGGTGACGTGAGAGAACTTGGGAAGGTTGAACACCAGACAGGCTGCGGCATTCTGGATGAGTTGTAGGGGTTTAATGGCACAGGCAGGGAGCCCAGCCAACAACGAGTTGCAGTAATCCAGACGGGAGATGACAAGTGCCTGGATTAGGACCGGTGCCGCTTCCTGTGTAAGGCAGGGTCGTACTCTCCGAATGTTGTAGAGCATGAACCTACAGGATCGGGTCACCGCCTTGATGTTAGCGGAGAACGACAGGGTGTTGTCCAGGGTCACGCCAAAGGCTCTTCGCACTCTGGGAGGAGGACACAACAGAGTTGTCAACCGTGATGGCGAGATCATGGAACGGGCAGTCCTTCCCCGGGAGGAAGAGCAGCTCCGTCTTGCCGAGGTTCAGCTTGAGGTGGTGATCCGTCATCCACACTGATATGTCTGCCAGACATGCAGAGATGCGATTCGCCACCTGGTTATCAGAAGGGGGAAAGGAGAAGATTAGTTGTGTGTCGTCTGCATAGCAATGATAGGAGAGGCCATGTGAGGATATGACAGAGCCAAGTGACTTGGTCAAATTGTTTTATTAATTATTAGTCTTTCTCTTTCACTCCTCACTGACAATGTGGCTTTATTCCTACCAAACCCCATAAGAGGCCTTTAAACGAGTTAGACGTTGGGTTTATAAGAACTGAAGGGAGGCCAGGGGGCATCTGAAATCACACCCTAATACTTCCAATCTAGTGCACTACTTTTGTCCCTATGTGGCTTTGGTAGGGCACTACTAAGTGCACTATGTTAGGGTAATAGGGTGCTGTTTTGCACGTAGACCCCTAAAATCTCTGTCCTCTCTCTCTATCTTCTGTATCCGTGGTAACCAAAAGGGATAGAACCAGCTTGCGTAGTGGAACCTTTGGAGAGACGACTGGGTGGTTGTTGTTTGTAGGTATTTGTACAGGCCAGCGTGTGGCTCCTCTCACAGAAGCCTGTTTCTAATGTGTGTGTGTGTGTGTGTGTGTGTATGTATATATATATATGTATGTGTATGTGTGTGTATATGTGTAGTTGTGTATCTCACTCACTCCACCTCACTGGCTGTGTCTGAAATAGCACCCTATTCCCTCTATAGTACACTACTTTTCACCAGAACCCTATTGACACCCTATTCGCTGTTGGCCTTGGTCAAAAGTAGTGCACTATATAGTGAATAGGGAGCAGAGGAGGCTGGTGGGAGGAGCTATAGGAGGACTGGCTCATTGTAACGATATGGAAACCATGTTTGACTCCGTTCCGATATTCCATTCCAGCTATTACAAGGAGCCCGTCCTCCTATAGCTCCTCCCACCAGCCTCCGCTGATAGGGAGCCATTTGAGACGCAGACAAACTGTCTTTGTTTCTAACAGCTAATGGAACCCAACACGTATTGTAATGATCTAGACTGGCTGTTATTTTGGTTTGATTTGATCGATCATGATGATTGATTGATCCATGGTGTACATTTTACGGTGAAAACCAACCAGGCTCCGTCGTGCTGTCTCTCCACTTCAGCCTCAATCTCTCTCTGCGGGTGTGTCCCAAAGTGACACCCTTTTCCCTATATAGTGCACTATTTGGGATGCAGCCTGAGTCTCGTTGACCAAACATGCTGCATGCGTAGCTCAAGTCTCTCACACACAAACACATACACTGTCAGCCCTGTTAGGGCTTCTGGCTGGTAGCTCCAGCCCACCCCTTCTATGGCTCCCAGTCGTCCCCAGCACAGAGCTCTTTGTCTGGGCTGAGACTGTATGTCATGCCCCCTTGGCTGAAGGCCCAAGGCTCTGGGAAGAAGCCACCATTCCATCCTCTATACCAGCCGGATGGACCGGTGTGACTGGGACCAGTGTCTCCTCCCCCGCACCACACACACACACCAGTAAGTCAGACCAGACTAGGAGCGCTGTGAGGGCCTTTGTCGATGCTGAACAAACGCACTCCAACAGAGGCAAACTACTTTCTCCCAGTGGATGTAGATCTCCACACGGATCGCTACGGAGTCCCAACTAAAATGGGCCGCCATAGTTAAAGCATTTAGCCTTATGGGTGACCTCTGACCTGGGTTAAACAGATGGAACCATCATCACTGTGCTTGCCCACCTCAGGAGCCCTGCTGTTTAGAGTAGCTAGGTCCTTTTGAGTGTTTTCTTCCCTGGTCTGTTCTGGCCCGATCTTCCAACAGTATTCCACTGGACCCAACATGTCCCAAAGTGACCATTCTAGAATCGTGAACTATGTGGCCATTCTAGCCATTCTATTTCTATGGGTGTAGTCAGTCGGTGCTTTTTGCCAAATGGCCTCCAGAGTGACTCAGTCCCCAGTAAACTGACCGATAGGCAGACAGACAGACCGAACTTTGACCCTTACTGGTCTGGTCTGGTGAGGGGGAGGAGAGAGAATATGTGTCCCAAATGGTACCCTATTCCCTATATAGTGCACTACTTTTGACCAGGTCCCATAGGGCTCTGTAGGGAATAAGGTACCATTTGGGGCAAAGCCACAGACAGGCACAGGCCTTTGTCTGATCTGGTCAGAGAAAAGGGTAGACTGTCTGACAGTAGTAACACAGTCGTCAGTATTCAGTCAGTGTGTATATATCCGCACCCTCAGGCCATCTCTCTCTCTCTCTGCTGCTGTGGTTTTAAATGTGTGCCAATGGCTCTGTTCCAATATCAACACTAGCACACCACTTACAATGAAGCAGTGCATTCTAGAATGGGGCATGCATTCTAAGTGTCATGCTAGTGTGGATGTTGGAATGCAGCCCAAGAGTCAGTCAGTCAGCTCAGAACCCCACACAGTGTCAATTCAAACGCCCAGGCCAACTTTGATGATGTCACAAAGCCAAAGCCTGTTTCATTAGGTTTCTGCTACAGACAAACACCTGCCTTCAGTGTCCTGGTAGGCCTACACACCTGGTTTTAACCCACTTTGATCAGTGTCCTGGTAGGCCTACACACCTGGTTTTAACCCACTTTGATCAGTGTCCTGGTAGGCCTACACACCTGGTTTTAACCCACTTTGATCAGTGTCCTGGTAGGCATACACACCTGGTTTTAACCCACTTTGATCAGTGTCCTGGTAGGCCTACACACCTGGTTCTAACCCACTTTGATCAGTGTCCTGGTAGGCCTACACACCTGGTTTTAACCCACTTTGATCAGTGTCCTGGTAGGCATACACACCTGGTTCTAACCCACTTTGATCAGTGTCCTGGTAGGCATACACACCTGGTTCTAACCCACTTTGATCAGTGTCCTAGTAGGCCTACACACCTGGTTCTAACCCACTTTGATCAGTGTCCTGGTAGGCCTACACACCTGGTTTTAACCCACTTTGATCAGTGTCCTGGTAGGCATACACACCTGGTTCTAACCCACTTTGATCAGTGTCCTGGTCGGCCTACACACCTGGTTCTAACCCACTCTGAGTCTGAGTTTTAATTCATTAATGTGTCAAAAAGAGTTGTAGCGGTTTCGTTGTGTGAAGACTCTGCTGCCTTAAAGGTTTTTATTTTAGTTTTAAGCTGTTAACTGTGATGTCAGACCCCCGCCCTTCCCTGAGAACTGTTCCCTCTACTACAACTCCTTCCTTCCTTCTCTCTCTCTCTCTCTCTCTGTCATCATGACATCACTGAGGATTCCCACACACAACTAGAATGAAACAACGTCATTCTAGTTCTATTGATTCTATGGAATGTGGAGGAAGGTTTGGGGCCAGGTCCAGTATATAAATGTGGAGTTGTGAATGTGCAATCTGGTGTATTGGACCTGGGGTAGGGGTGTACTGCCTGTACAGTACTGCCTGTTTAAAGCTATGCAACAGCACTGTGGTCCAGTCCACACAGCAAAAATAAAATACCCACTTCTGTATATTATGAGAATGATCCCGACGATGTCACGTTTCTGCTGCCCCATGTAATCAAGTCAGTTCTTTATTAGTAAAGATAAAATATGCAAATGATCTGCCAAAATATGAGTGATTAATCTAGTGCCTCCTGTTTTCTGACTCAGCCTTTTTTCCAATCAAGTTTTACACTTAAGGTTTTTCCAGTGTTTGCCTTAGCGGTGTTTTTATGTCCTCATATCATGATGGCTTCGTTCCAAATGGCACCCTATTCCCTATACAGTGACATATGGGCCCTGGTCAAAAGTAGTGCACTAAATGGGGAATGGGGTGCCATTTGGGACGCAAGCCCAAGAAGATAATTCACATATGAGTACAACAACAATTACAGACAAACTGTTTTTGTCTTGCTTATACCGTTCAAACGTTTTTTTTGTGAAAGATGAGAAAATGCTTTCGTTGTTTCAGTCTCTAACTTATACTGTCTTATCCTTTACTCTCCTCCCAATAAAACAACAAACCATTTTTCAAACTGGGACGTGTGTTTTGAAGTTGTTTCCTTAGTTGTAGCCAATGTCATGTCAATTTTAGACAGTCATGACAACTGACTGACTACGTTTGACTGTCAGTTCTTTCCATCTCACTTGTTTCAGTTTAGTTGTAGTTCAAATGTCAGTTTAAATGTAATGTCAATGTTTTTCAGTCACTTGACACCACTTAGGATCTACAAAAGATATTCCGCTTATCTTTGCAAAAAGTTATATTTATTATTTTACATCTATAAGAGACAGTTAGGGTCATTTTGAATTGAAGTCATTCAATTGTTTAAAAAAATGTCATCTATTTTCAATGACTTCTCAATAAGCTGAAATGGAGAAGTTATTCAAATGTTTTTCCATTTCTGACATTTTAATTCAAATCAGTTCCTGAAATGAATGACGTTAAAGGGCCAGATTTTCTTGTGTTTTATACAGTGAGGGAAAAAAGTATTTGATCCCCTGCTGATTTTGTACGTTTTCCCACTGACAAAGAAATGATCAGTCTATAATTTGAATGGTAGGTTTATTTGAACAGTGAGAGACAGAATAACAACAAAAAATATCCAGAAAAACGCATGTCAAAAATGTTATAAATTGATTTGCATTTTAATGAGGGAAATAAGTATTTGACCCCTTCTCAATCAGAAAGTTTTCTGGCTCCCAGGTGTCTTTTGTACAGGTAACGAGCTGAGATTAGGAGCACACTCTTAAAGGGAGTGCTGCTAATCTCAGCTTGTTACCTGTATAAAAAACACCTGTCCACAGAAGCAATATATCAATCAGATTCCAAACTCTCCACCATGGCAAAGTCCAAAGAGCTCCCCAAGGATGTCAGGGACAAGATTGTAGACCTACACAAGGCTGGAATGGGCTACAAGACCATCGCCAAGCAGCTAGGTGAGAAGGTGACAACAGTTGGTGCGATTATTCGCAAATGGAAGAAACACAAAAGCACTGTCAATCTCCCTCGGCCTGGGGCTCCATGCAAGATCTCACCTCGTGGAGTTGCAATGATCATGAGAACGGTGAGGTATCAGCCCAGAACTACACGGGAGGATCTTGTCAATGATCTCAAGGCAGATGGGACCATAGTCACCAAGAAAACAATTGATAACAGACTACGCCGTGAAGGACTGAAATCCTGCAGCGCCCGCAAGGTCCCCCTGCTCAAGAAAGCACATATACAGGCCCGTCTGAAGTTTGCCAATGAACATCTGAATGATTCAGAGGAGAACTGGGTGAAAGTGTTGTGGTCAGATGAGACCAAAATCGAGCTCTTTGGCATCAACTCAACTCGCCGTGTTTGGAGGAGGAGGAATGCTGCCTATGACCCCAAGAACACCATCCCCACCGTCAAACATGGAGGTGGAAACATTATGCTTTGGGGGTGTTTTTCTGCTAAGGGGACAGGACAACTTCACCGCATCAAAGGGATGATGGACGGAGCCATGTACCGTCAAATCTTGGGTGAGAACCTCCTTGCCTCAGCCAGGGCATTGAAAATGGGTCGTGGATGGGTATTCCAGCATGACAATGACCCAAAACACACGGCCAAGGCAACAAAGGAGTGGCTCAAGAAGAAGCACATTAAGGTCCTGGAGTGGCCTAGCCAGTCTCCAGACCTTAATCCCATAGAAAATCTGTGGAGGGAGCTGAAGGTTCGAGTTGCCAAACGTCAGCCTCAACCTTAATGACTTGGAGAAGATCTGCAAAGAGTGGGACAAAATCCCTCCTGAGATGTATGCAAACCTGGTGGCCAACTACAAGAAACGTCTGACCTCTGTGATTGCCAACAAGGGTTTTGCCACCAAGTACTAAGTCATGTTTTGCAGACGGGTCAAATACTTATTTCCCTCATTAAAATGCAAATCAATTTATAACATTTTTGACATGCGTTTATCTGGATTTTGTTGTTGTTATTCTGTCTCTCACTGTTCAAATAAACCTACCATTCAAATTATAGACTGATAATTTCTTTGTCAGTGGGCAAATGTACAAAATCAGCAGGGGATCAAATACTTTTTTCCCTCACTGTATATATTTCCATACTGAGGTTGGAATAAATCTTTTAGTGTAAGAGCTGTTTGAAAAGACCACCTGACATTTCTGCCTGTTTTGGTGGGATGGAGTTTTGGCCTGCCTTGTGACCTCACCAGTTATTTAATAGACCAAGAAGAGCTCCAAACCGCTCCCAATAACAGCTAGTTTTCAGTTTTCCCCTCCCACTCTCAGACAGTCCTAGGAAAATGATTGTTTGAGAAATGGCACTTTTTACCATTTTAATTGAAAACAATCACAGTAAGGTACTTAATCCTTATCCAGAAATAATTTGATATTGAGATTTTTTTTATTTATTTTTTACCGCTGCATTTGACCTTTAAGTCGAATTGACCCCAACTCTTTAGTGATCTGAAGGAAATGTCAACAGTTCAGACTCTTATCCGAAGGAATACAGTGCATTCGGAAAGTATTCAGACCCCTTGACTTTTTCCACATTTTGCTACGTTACAGCCTTATTCTAAAATGGATTAAATAGTTTTTTTCTCTCATCAATATACACACAAGAGACCCCATAACGACAAAGCAAAAACAGGTTTTTATAAATTTTTGCAAATGTATTAAAAATAAAAAACGATCACATTCACGTAAGTATTCAGACCCTTTACTCAGTACTTTGTTGAAGCACCGTTGGCAGCAATTACAGCCTCAAGTCTTCTTTGGTATGACGCTACAAGCTTGGCACACCTGTATTTGAGGAGTTTCTCCCATTCTTCTCGGGAGATCCTCTCAAGCTCTGTCAGGTTGGATGGGGAGCATTGCTGCATAGCTATTTTCAGGTCTTTCCAGAGATGTTTGATCGGGTTCAAGTCCGGGCTCTGGCTGGGCCACTCAAGGACATTCAGAGACTTGTCCCGAAGCCACTCCTGCGTTGTCTTGGCTGTGTGCTTAGGGTCGTTGTCCTGTTGGAAGGTGAACCTTCGCCCCAGTCTGAGGTCCTGAGCACTCTGGAGCAGCTTTTCATCAAGGATCTCTCTGTACTTTGCTCGGTTCAGCTTTCCCTCGATCCTGACTAGTCTCCCCGTCCCTGCCGTTGAAGAACATCCCCACAGCATGATGCTGCCACCACCATGCTTCACCGTAGGGATGGTGCCAGGTTTCCTCCAGACGTGGCGCTTGGCATTCAGGCCAAAGTTTCATCTTGGTTTCATCAGACCAGAGAATTTTGTTTCTCGTGGTCTGAGTCCTTTAGGTGCCTTTTGGCAAACTCCAAGCGGGCTGTCGTGCTTTTTGCTGAGGAGTGGCTTCCTTCTGGCCACTCTACCATAAAGGCCTGATTAGTGGAGTGCTGCAGAGATGGTTGTCCTTCTGGAAGGTTCTCCCATCTCCACAGAGGAACTCTGGAGCTCTGTCAGAGTGACCATCGGGTTCTTGGTCACCTCCCTGACCAAGGCCCTTCTCCCCGGATTTCTCAGTTTGGCCGGGCGGCCAGCTCAAGGAAGGGTCTTGGTGGTTCCAAACATTTAAGAATGATGGAGGCCACTGTGTTCTTGGGGACCTTAAATGCTGCAGAAATTTTTTGGTACCCTTCCCCAGATCTGTGCCTCGACACAATCCTGTCTCAGAGCTCTACGGACAATTCCTTCGACCTCATGGCTTGGTTTTTGCTCTGACATGCACTGTCAACTGTGGGACCTTATTTGGCATGGTTGTGCCTTTCCAAATCATGTCCAATCAATAGAATTTACCACAGTTGGACTCCAATCAAGTTGTAGAAACATCTCAAGGATGATCAACAGGATGCACCTGAGCTCAATTTCCAGTCTCATAGCAAAGGGTCTGAATACTTATGTAAATAAGGTATTTCCGTTTTTTTATTTTAATACATTTGCAAAAATGTCTAAACCTATTTCGCTTTGTCATTTAGGGTATTTGTGTAGATTGATGAGGGAAAAAATGTATTTAATCAATTTCAGAACAAGGCTGTAACGTAACAAAATATGGAAAAAGTGAAGGGGTCTGAATACTTTCTGAATCCACTGTGTGGGACAGTTCTGTATACATCACTGTACTGTTAAAGCTAAATGGCCAATGTGGAGGAGGGTCTATCTTTTATGACTTATGACCATGCAACTTACTGCCTGCTTCCTCTACTTTTCTAAACTACAGTACTGCCTGCTTCCTCTACTTCAACTACAGTACTGCCTGCTTCCTCTACTTCTAACTACAGTACTGCCTGCTTCCTCTACTAAACTACAAGTATGCCTGCTTCCTCTACTTCTAAACTACAGATCCCTGCTTCCTCTACTTCTAAACTACAGTACGGCCTGCTTCCTCTACTAAACTACAGTATCTGCCTGCTTTCCTCTACTTCTAAACTACAGTCTGCCTGCTTCCCTACTAAACTACATCTGCCTGCTTCCTCTACTTCTAAACTACAGTACTGCCTGCTTCCTCTACTAACTACAGTACTGGTGCTTCCTCTCTACTAAACTACAGTAACTGCCTGCTTCCTCTACTTCTAAACTACAGTACTGCCTGCTTCCTCTACTAAACTACAGTACTGCCTGCTTCCTCTACTTCTAAACTACAGTACTGCCTGCTTCCTCTACTAACTACAGTACTGCATGCTTCCTCTACTAACTACAGTACTGCCTGCTTCCTCTACTAAACTACAGTACTGCCTGCTTCCTCTACTTTAAACTACAGTACTGCCTGCTTCCTCTACTAAACTACAGTACTGCCTGCTTCCTCTACTAAACTACAGTACTGCCTGCTTCCTCTACTAAACTACAGTACTGCCTGCTTCCTCTACTTCTAAACTACAGTACTGCCTGCATCCTCTACTAAACTACAGTACTGCCTGCTTCCTATACTTCTAAACTACAGTACTGCATGCTTCCTCTACTAAACTACAGTACTGCCTGCTTCCTCTACATCTAAACTACAGTACTGCCTGCTTCCTCTACTTATAAACGACAGTACTGCCTGCTTCCTCTACTTCTAAACTACAGTACTGCCTGCTTCCTCTACGTCTAAACTACAGTACTGCCTGCTTCTTCTACTTCTAAACTACAGTACTGCATGCTTCCTCTACTAAACTACAGTACTGCCTGCTTCCTCTACTTCTAAACTACAGTACTGCCTGCTTCCTCTATGTCTAAACTACAGTTCTGCCTGCTTCCTCTACTTCTAAACTACCAGTGGTGTAAAGTACTTAAGTAAAAAATACTTTAAAGTAGTACTTAAGTATTTTTTATGGGTATCTGTACTTTACTATTTATATTTTTGACAACTTTTACTTTTACTCCACTACATTTTCCCTGACACCCAAAAGTACTGGTTACATTTCGAGTGCTTAGCAGGACAGGAAAATGGTCCAATTCACACACATCAAGAGAACATCCCTACTGCCTTTATTTGGCAGACTCACTAAACACAAATGCTTTGTATGTAAATTATGTCTGAGTGTTGTAGTGTGCCCCTGGCTATCCGTACATTTTTTTTAAACAAGAAGATCGTGCCGTCTGGTTTGCTTAATATAAGAAATGTGAAATGATTTAAACTTTCACTTTTGATAACTAAGTATATTTTAGCAATTAGTTACTTTTGATACTTAAGTATATTTAAAACCAAACCAAACACTTTTACTCAAGTAGTATTTACTGGCTGACTCACTTTTACTTGAGTAATTTTCTATTAAGGTATCTTTACTTTTACTCAAGTATGACAATGGGTACTTTTTCCACCACTGTAAATTATCAGTACTGCCTGCTTCCTCTACTAAACTACAGTACTGCCTGCTTCCTCTACGTCTAAACGACAGTTCTGCCTGCTTCCTCTACGTCTAAACTACAGTACTGCCTGCTTCCTCTATTTCTAAACTACAGTACTGCCTGCTTCCTCTACTTCTAAACTACAGTACTGCCTGCTTCCTCTATTTCTAAACTACAGTACTGCCTGCTTCCTCTACTTCTAAACTACAGTACTGCCTGCTTCCTCTATTTCTAAACTACAGTACTGCCTGCTTCCTCTACTTCTAAACTACAGTACTGCCTGCTTCCTCTACTTCTAAACTACAGTTCTGCCTGCTTCCTCTACTAAACTACAGTACTGCCTGCTTCCTCTACTAAACTACAGTACTGCCTGCTTCCTCTACTAAACTACAGTACTGCCTGCTTCTTCTACTTCTAAACTACAGTACTGCCTGTTTCCTCTACTTCTAAACTACAGTACTGCCTGCTTCCTCTACTTCTAAACTACAGTACTGCCTGCTTCCTCTACTAAACTACAGTACTGCCTGCTTCCTCTACTTCTAAACTACAGTACTGAGTGCTTCCTCTACTAAACTACAGTACTGCCTGCTTCCTCTATTTCTAAACTACAGTACTGCCTGCTTCCTCTACGTCTAAACTACAGTACTGCCTGCTTCCTCTATTTCTAAACTACAGTACTGCCTGCTTCCTCTACTTCTAAACTACAGTACTGCCTGCTTCCTCTACTTCTAAACTACAGTACTGCCTGCTTCCTCTACTAAACTACAGTACTGTCTGCTTCCTCTACTTCTAAACTACAGTACTGCCTGCTTCCTCTACTAAACTACAGTACTGCCTGCTTCCTCTACTTCTAAACTACAGTACTGCCTGCTTCCTCTACTAAACTACCGTACTGCCTGCTTCCTCTACTTCTAAACTACAGTACTGCCTGCTTCCTCTACTAAACTACAGTACTGCCTGCTTCTTCTACTTCTAAACTACAGTACTGCCTGTTTCCTCTACTTCTAAACTACAGTACTGCCTGCTTCCTCTACTTCTAAACTACAGTACTGCCTGCTTCCTCTACTAAACTACAGTACTGCCTGCTTCCTCTACTTCTAAACTACAGTACTGAGTGCTTCCTCTACTAAACTACAGTACTGCCTGCTTCCTCTATTTCTAAACTACAGTACTGCCTGCTTCCTCTACGTCTAAACTACAGTACTGCCTGCTTCCTCTATTTCTAAACTACAGTACTGCCTGCTTCCTCTACTTCTAAACTACAGTACTGCCTGCTTCCTCTACTTCTAAACTACAGTACTGTCTGCTTCCTCTACTTCTAAACTACAGTACTGTCTGCTTCTTCTACTTCTAAACTACAGTACTGCCTGCTTCCTCTACTAAACTACAGTACTGTCTGCTTCCTCTACTTCTAAACTACAGTACTGCCTGCTTCCTCTACTAAACTACAGTACTGCCTGCTTCCTCTACTTCTAAACTACAGTACTGCCTGCTTCCTCTACTAAACTACAGTACTGCCTGCTTCCTCTACTTCTAAACTACAGTACTCCCTGCTTCCTCTACTTATAAACTACAGTACTGCCTGCTTCCTCTACTTATAAACTACAGTACTGCCTGCTTCCTCTACTTATAAACTATAGTACTGCCTACTTTGCTTGCCATCTGAAGGATTATAGTATTGAATGATGCAGTACTGAACTTTATGCCCACTACTTTCCATCCAAACACATGCCCTACAGTATTTAACACTCCATAGTCCAGTTATTCCTTCAGTACTTTGCTAATCAGGGATTTGTATAATTTCTACCTCACTGCTGTGGATTGTTTGGTCCAAGTATTTAAATAGGATAAAGCCAGATCAGCATCGGCAGGGTCGTGTTCATTAGTGCACACCGTGGCAAAACGCTTTGCAGCCGAACAAGAACACAGGCATTTCTTATTGGACAAGTTCAGGTCCCTGTTTCAGTGTTTTTTCTTCAGTTTGTTGTCTACTGAACAGGAGCGGGTACAGTGGAAGGGAGATTGGAGAGGGGAGTTCTAGTCAACTGAGGGGTGTTTTGTTGTTGGTGGATTATTTCCCCATTCTTTAAATAATCTAAATCCCAAATGGCACCCTAATCCCTATATGGTGCACTACTTTTGATCAGGGCCCATAGGACTCTGGTCAAAAGTAGTGCACTATATAGGGATTAGGGTGCCATTTTGGACGCACACTAGTCAACCAGAGATGGGATTTTTCCTGACTAATCAGGAATTCTTGGCTTTCAGACCTAATGATCAGGAATGTAATTTAACACTGTCTGTGTCTTGGCATTTAGCCTCTGGACTGTTGTACCTGATTGTCTATGTGGCCAATCACATCCCTGCATTTTGCAGCGTTTGTAGAAAGCTCATACAAATACAATATGATGGTTGTGGGTTTTGTAGTTCTTCTACTTGTGGGTTTTGCACTTCTTGTACATCTTACACACAAAGCTATGTACTGTATTTGTACTGCTAGGAGACTGACACCGATATGGGTTTATCACACTTATGGTGGCCATATGTATCAAGTGTCTTATCCTGGAGTGCCGATCTATGATCAGTTTAGCCTTTTAACGAATACAAGTATTATGGACAGGGAGGACCTGATCCTTAGATCGGCACTCCTACCGTAATAATAATATGCCATTTAGCAGACGCTTTTATCCAAAGCGACTTACAGTCATGCGTGCATACATTTTTTGTGTATAGGTGGTCCCGGGGATCGAACCCACTACCTTGGCGTTACAAGCGCCGTGCTCTACCAGCTGAGCTACAGTACTCACCTACATCTCATCAATGTGGGACAGGAAGAGCTGCTTTGCTTAGCACTGTGATGGGAACTAATGTTACCAAGGCAACAAAGCCTCATATAGGTCAACATCAGGATGTAATGTTACTGAGGAGACGCTAGGGAGCAGTGTAACACAGGAGTTATCGCAGTACAGTAGACAACTGTAGGAGAGAGAGGGTCAGAGGGTGATCGGGAGAGAACGCCATCACAGCAGCAAGATGTGTGACCTGTTGCCACAAGAAAACGGCACCAAGTGAAGAACAAACACCATTGTAAATACAACCTATATTTATGTTGATTTATTTTCCCTTTTGTACTTTAACTATTTGCACATTGTTACAACACTGTATATATACATAATATGACATTTGAAATGTCTTTATTCTTTTGGAACTTCTGAGTGTAATGTTTACTGTTAGTATTTATTGTTTATTTCACTTTTGTTTACTATCTACTTCACTTGCTTTGGCAATGTTAACTTATGTTTCCCATGCCAATAAAGACCTTTGATTTGAATTTAATTAAATTGAGTGCGAGTGTGTGTATGAGTGTGTGCCATATGGGTGAAGCTGAAGGTTAATGTGTGTGTGTGTCAGTGTTGATGTTGATGATTATGACCTCTCTCAATTCAATTCAAATCACTTTCGCTATCTCAATGTCTTTCTCTAGTCCAGTAAGTATGTACAGTGCATTCAGAAAGTATTCAGACCCCTTCCCCTTTTCCACATTTTGTTACGTTACAGCCTTATTCTAAAATAGATTCAATTAAAAATGTTCCTCATCAGACTGCACACAATACCCCATAAAGACAAAGCGAAAAGAGGTTTGTAGATTTTTTGCAAACGTATTAAATAAAAAGCGGAAATATTCAGACCCTTTGCTATGAGACTCAAAATTGAGCTCCGGTACATCCTGTTTCCATTGATCATCCTTGAGATGTTTCTACAACTTGGTTGGAGTCCACTGTGGTAAATTAAATTGATTGGACATGATTTGGAAAGGCACACACCTGTCTATATAAGGTCCCACAGTTGACAGTGCATGTCAGAGCAAGAACCAAGCCATGAGGTCGAAGGAATTGTCCGTAGGGCTCCAAGACAGGATTGTGTCGAGGCACAGATCTGGGGAAGGGTACCAAAAAATGTCTGCAGCATTGAAGGTCCCCAGGAACACAGTGGCCTCCATCATTCTTAAATGGACGAAGTTTGGAACCACCAAGACTCTTCCTAGAGCTGGCCGCCCTGGACAAACTGAGCAATCGGGGGAGAAGGGCCTTTGTCAGGGAGCTGACCAAGAACCCGATGGTCATTCTGACAGAGCTCTAGAGTTCCTCTGTGGAGGTGGGAGAACCTTCCAGAAGGACAACCATCTTTGCAGCACTCCACCAATTAGGCCTTTATGGTAGAGTGGCCAGACGGAAGCCACTCCTCAGTAAAAGGCACATGACAGCCCACTTGGAGTTTGCCAAAAGGCACCTAAATGACTCTCAGACCATGAGAAACAAGATTCTCTGGTCTGATGAAACCATGATTGAACTCTTTGGCCTGAATGCCAAGCGTCACATCTAGAGGAAACCTGGCACCATCCCTGCGGTGAAGCATGGTGGTGGCAGCATCATGCTGTGGGGATGTTTTTCAGCGGTAGGGACTGAGAGACTAATCAGGATCGAGGGAAAGATGAATGGAGAAAAGTACAGAGAGATCCTTGATGAAAACCTGCTCCAGAGCGCTCAGGACCTCAAACTGGGGCGAAGGTTCACCTTCCAACAGGACAACGACCCTAAGCACACAGCCAAGACAACGCAGGAGTGGCTTCGGGATAAGTCTCTGAATGTCCTTGAGTGGCCCAGCCGGAGCCCGGACTTGAACCCAATCAAACATCTCTGGAGAGACCTGAAAATAGCTGTGCAGCGACGCTCCCCATCCAACCTGACAGAGCTTGAGAGGATCTGCAGAGAAGAATGGGAGAAACTCCCCAAATACAGGTGTGCCAAGCTTGTAGTGTCATACCTAAAAATACTTGATGCTGTAATCGCTGCCAAAGGTGCTTCAACAAAGTACTGCGTAAAGGGTCTGAATACTTATGTAAATGTAATATTTCTGTTTGTTTTAATTTATAAATGTACACACATTTCTCAAAACCTGTTTTTGCTTTGTCATTATGGGGTAGTGTGTGTAGATTGATGAGGGAAAAAACAATTTAATAAATTTTAGAATATGGCTGTAATGTGACAAAATGTGGAAAAAGTCAAGGGGTCTGAATACTTTCAGAATACACTGTATGCCTCCCTCCCTCAATAGAATGAATACATAGACACATGTTCAAATGTTCATTTGTTATAAACAAAATACATTTAATCAATTGAAAAACATGATCAGCAGTGAGTGTTACAGCATAGACCGGCTTTACATTTCTCTCCATTAAAAAATAAAAAAATAAAGAAGAAAGATGCAACTCAAAAGTTTAAAAAAAATAAATAATAATAAATATAGTTAACTGATAAATGTGTTTATAACAGCAGAAGTCATAGTCATTGATCTGCTATCTGGTGTTCGAGGTGGTCTTTGAGTAGGGCATCTTGGCCAGTCTGAGGAAGATCGATGTAGTGGTGAAAGACTCCAGGATGTTTTGGAGTCGACGATGAAGGAGTCGAGGAATCAACTCTTTTGTAGTCAAATCTCCACCACTACCTACCTAGGAAGTTTTGGCTTCAAGCACTTCGTCAAATGCATTTATAATTTAAAAAAGTTAACACAATATAAATAAAAGCTTTGATTGTTTGTTTGATTGATTGACAGGTAAAGTAGTGATCCACAGAATTGAAACGGCTAGTAATTCACACTGTAATCCATAAATCTTAGTTTCACCTATAGCCTTATTTGGTAAATGTATATTACATTTATACATTACATAGGTACATGAAGTAGACTGTTGAGAAAAACAACACAGGCTGTGTATAATACTGTGGTAGTATTGTGTTGGGATAACAGGCTGTGTAGAATACTGTGGTAGTATTGTGTTGGGATAACAGGCTGTGTAGAATACTGTGGTAGTATTGTGTTGGGATAACAGGCTGTGTAGAATACTGTGGTAGTATTGTGTTGGGATAACAGGCTGTGTAGAATACTGTGGTAGTATTGTGTTGGGATAACAGGCTGTGTAGAATACTGTGGTAGTATTGTGTTGGGATAACAGGCTGTGTAGAATACTGTGGTAGTATTGTGTTGGGATAACAGGCTGTGTAGAATACTGTGGTAGTATTGTGTTGGGATAACAGGCTGTGTAGAATACTGTGGTAGTATTGTGTTGGGATAACAGGCTGTGTAGAATACTGTGGTAGTATTGTGTTGGGATAACAGGCTGTGTAGAATACTGTGGTAGTATTGTGTTGGGATAACAGGCTGTGTAGAATACTGTGGTAGTATTGTGTTGGGATAACAGGCTGTGTAGAATACTGTGGTAGTATTGTGTTGGGATAACAGGCTGTGTAGAATACTGTGGTAGTATTGTGTTGGGATAACAGGCTGTGTATAATACTGTGGTAGTATTGTGTTGGGATAACAGGCTGTGTATAATACTGTGGTAGTATTGTGTTGGGATAACAGGCTGTGTATAATACTGTGGTAGTATTGTGTTGGGATAACAGGCTGTGTAGAATACTGTGGTAGTATTGTGTTGGGATAACAGTACTGTCATTCAGATACAACCATAATAATAGTAATCAATATAAAGACAGAGAGGTCATATCATGGTTACAACTGAACAGAGAGGTCATATCATGGTTATAACTATGAACAGAGAGGTCATATCATGGTTATAACTATGAACAGAGAGGTCATATCATGGTTATAACTATGAACAGAGAGGTTACATCATGGTTATAACTATGAACAGAGAGGTCACATCATGGTTATAACTATGAACAGAGAGGTCATATCATGGTTATAACTGTGAACAGAGAGATCACATCATGGTTATAACTATGAACAGAGAGGTCACATCATTGTTATAACTATGAACAGAGAGGTCACATCATGGTTATAACTGTGAACAGAGAGATCACATAATTTTTTACATTTACATTTTAGTCATTTAGCAGACGCTCTTATCCAGAGCGACTTACAGGAGCAATTAGGGTTAAGTGCCTTGCTCAAGGGCACATCGACAGATTTTTCACCTAGTCGGCTCGGGGATTAGAACCAGTGACCTTTCGGTTACTGGCACAACGCTCTTAACCACTAAGCTACCTGCCGCCCCAGGTATACTTATTTACATAAGTATTCAGACCCTTTGCCATGAGACTCGAAATTGAGCTCAGGTGCATCCTGTTTCCATTGATCATCCTTGAGATGTTTCTACAAATTGATTGGAGTCCACCTGTGGTAAATTCAATTGATTGGACACGATTTGGAAAGGCACACACCTGTCTATATAAGGTCCCACAGTTGACAGTGCATGTCAGAGCAAAAACCAAGCCATGAGGTCGAAGGAATTGTCCGTAGAGCTCAGAGACAGGATTGTGTCAAGGCAAAGATCTGGGGAAGGGTACCAAAAAATGTCTGCACCATCATGGTTATAACTATGAACAGAGAGGTCATATCATGGTTATAACTATGAACAGAGAGGTCATATCATGGTTATAACTATGAACAGAGAGGTCATATCATGGTTATAACTATGAACAGAGAGGTCATATCATGGTTATAACTATGAACAGAGAGGTCATATCATGGTTATAACTATGAACAGAGAGGTCATATCATGGTTATAACTATGAACAGAGAGGTCATATCATGGTTATAACTATGAACAGAGGTCATATCATGGTTATAACTATTTACAGAGAGGTCACATCATGGTTATAACTACTGACAGAGCAGTAATAATGGTAAAAGCCTGTGTCTCAGCCATGCATGTAGTTTGGTTGACTCTCTGAGGAGAGAGACTTGGTCATTAGGAATCCACCTAAGACAGTTTTCCGCTGCAATGCAAGTGTATGCGTATGACATCTGAGAGGGCAAACAGGTCAAAGCTGTGTGTGTGTACATTCTGTAGCACAGAGGTGTTTGTCCAGCACCCAGTCTCTCAGTAACATGTTGACAGTGTGTGTTTTCTATTTGCTACTTTGTTTGGCGTTTCTTCTCCATTTTAACCACCTGTGAGTATCTAGTGGTCAAGGTCCTCCTTGGTCGGTCAGTTTGGCGCTGGTCGGCAAAACAATGTCAAGTATTTTTATTTATTTAACCTTTATTTAACCAGGTAGTCCCATTGAGTTCAGAATACTTGTTTTCCAAAGGAGACCCGGTTGTGGTTCTGTCTTAGCTATTCAACCATGTTCAGACCACGTAGGTCTCCTGTTTTAGGGACCCGGTTGTGGTTCTGTCTTAGCTATTCAACCATGTTCAGACCACGTTGGTCTCCTGTTTTAGGGACCCGGTTGTGGTTTCTGTCTTAGCTAGTCAACCATGTTCAGACCACGTTGGTCTCCTGTTTTAGGGACCGGTTGTGGTTCTGTCTTAGCTATTCAACCCATGTTCAGACCACGTTGGTCTCCTGTTTTAGGGACCCGGTTGTGGTTCTGTCTTAGCTATTCAACCATGTTCAGACCACGTTGGTCTCCTGTTTAGGGACCCGGTTGTGGTTCTGTCTTAGCTATTCAACCATGTTCAGACCACGTTGGTCTCCTGTTTTAGGGACCCGGTTGTGGTTCTGTCTTAGCTATTCAACCATGTTCAGACCACGTTGGTCTCCTGTTTTAGGGACCCGGTTGTGGTTCTGTCTTAGCTATTCAACCATGTTCAGACCGCGTTGGTCTCCTGTTTTAGGGACCGTTTAGCCGGACTGGTCTCCATAACCAGATCAACGTCTAGATAATCTGTTGATCCACTGTCCTGAGAAACCTTCTCCTCCTCCTCCTCTCCTCCTCTCCTCTCCTCCTCCTCTCCTTCTTTCTCCTCCTCCTGTTTTCTCGTCTTCCCGCGGTGGCAGAGGCCGGACTTGGCTGGTCCCACCATGGCGAGGAAGATGGCGCCCAGGCCCATTCCCACAGCACAGGAGTAGAAGGCTGAGCCGTAGTTCTGGGTCATATCCACCAACAGGCCTGGGGGAAAAAACACACAGGAGGCAACGTCAGAGACACCTAAAGATCTGGCAAGACCCTTCAAGATCATCAGGTTGGCGCAGTAGCAATCAAAACCTTCTAGATCAGTTCAAGAGAGAGGGTTACAGACAGACAATGAGAGAGAGAGAGAGAGAGAGAGAGCTACAAAGTGAAGACTAAGATCCAGACAGAGTAAATCAGCTAGAGTCTCTTACCTCCCAGCGGTGGTCCGGCCAGCCCAGCAAAGCTCTGTATACACACATAGACCCCCACGGACGAGGGCATCCTCTCTATGCCCACCACGTCGTCCTCTGCCAGCATGGGGATGTGTGTAGAGCCCACAGTGCCCATCAGGAAGCCATAGAGACAGCAGCAGGCTGCCAGGCCCCAGAACTCAGTCACCAGGGTGAAGGCTAACAGCACCAGACACAGCAGAACTACACATCCCAGAAGCACCTGGGTCTTACGCATCCGCACCTTGTTTAAAATGACCCCGATGGACAGGCGCCCGCAGACCTCAGACACCGCCATTACGGAGAGCATGTAGGCAGCCTTTTCGGTGTGGACGCCACGGCTCTTACTGAGCTCTATGATGTAAAGCGAAGGGGCGAAGAACCCCAGCGTGGCGAAGAGGCCGAACAGAGAGTAGCAGATGAACGCTCCATCTTTTAACACCGAGAAGTCTAGGAGTTTAGGTCTGGCGGGTTGGACCAGGGGACCCAGCTCACCCTGCTCTTTCTCCCCAGCCTCCAGCTGCTTCAGTGGGGTTCCAAGGGTTGCCTGTCCCCCCTGGTTCTTCTCCCTTTGGTCCTCCATGAGGGCCCAGGTCTCAGAGGGGTCCTGTGTGGCTGTGGTGGCCCGGATGTCAGCACTGGAGGCGGACAGAGAGGTGACCCCAGAATCCCCTGACTCCTCAGACTCCCCGGAGCTAACGTTGGTCTGGGTATCCTCATTCTCCAGCTCGTACACCGTCTGCAGCTTAACGGACAGCTTCCTCTTATTGGACAACTCCAATGACACTTCCTGGTTAGGCCTGATGATGATTGGTCGAAGCAGAGCGCCGCAGCCAATCACGGAGGTCTGCATGATGCCGATGACGATGAGGCAGTGGCGCCAGCCGATGACCTCCTTCAAGGCCATGAAGGCTGCAGAGGAGAAGAGGAGATATGTGGTTTTAAATCTCCTTCCACTTTCAAATGACTGTTAGAAACATTTAAAACTCATGTTTTTTTACGCTCCTCCACAATGCTTTACTTTTAGAACAGTACCAGACACAATATCTGCCTTTTGAGATTCATTAGTCTGCGTCTGAAATGGCACCATATTCCCTAGATACAGTGAGGGAAAAAAGTATTTGATCCCCTGCTGATTTTGTACGTTTGCCCACTGACAAAGAAATTATCAGTCTATAATTTTAATGGTAGGTTTATTTGAACAGTGAGAGACAGAATAACAAAAACAAAAATCCAGAAAATAGCATGTCAAAAATGTTATAAATTGATTTTCATTTTAATGAGGGAAATAAGTATTTGACCCCCTCTCAATCAGAAAGATTTCTGGCTCCCAGGTGTCTTTTATACAGGTAACGAGCTGAGATTAGGAGCACACTCTTAAAGGGAGTGCTCCTAATCTCAGCTTGTTACCTGTATAAAAGACACCTGTCCACAGAAGCAATCAATCAGATTCCAAACTCTCCACCATGGCCAAGACCAAAGAGCTCTCCAAGGATGTCAGGGCCAAGATTGTAGACCTACACAAGGCTGGAATGGGTTACAAGACCATCGCTAAGCAGCTAGGTGAGAAGGTGACAACAGTTGGTGCGATTATTCGAAAATGGAAGAAACGCAAAAGAACTGTCAATCTCCCTCGGCCTGGGGCTCCATGCAAGATCTCACCTCGTGGAGTTGCAATGATCATGAGAACGGTGAGGAATCAGCCCAGAACTACACGGGAGGATCTTGTCAATCATCTCAAGGCAGCTGGGACCATAGTCACCAAGAAAACAATTGGTAACACACTACGCCGTGAAGGACTGAAATCCTGCAGCACCCGCAAGGTCCCCCTGCTCAAGAAAGCACATATACAAGCCCATCTGAAGTTTGCCAACGAACATCTGAATGATTCAGAGGAGAACTGGGTGAAAGTGTTGTGGTCAGATGAGACCAAAATCGAGCTCTTTGGCATCAACTCAACTCGCCGTATTTGGAGGAGGAGGAATGCTGCCTATGACCCCAAGAACACCATCCCCACCGTCAAACATGGAGGTGGAAACATTATGCTTTGGGGGTGTTTTTCTGCTAAGGGGACAGGACAACTTCACCGCATCAAAGGGAAGATGGACGGGGCCATGTACTGTCAAATCTTGGGTGAGAACCTCCTTCCCTCAGCCAGGGCATTGAAAATGGGTCGTGGATGGGTATTCCAGCATGACAATGACCCAAAACACACGGCCAAGGCAACAAAGGAGTGGCTCAAGAAGAAGCACATTAAGGTCCTGGAGTGGCCTAGCCAGTCTCCAGACCTTAATCCCATAGAAAATCTGTGGAGGGAGCTGAAGGTTCGAGTTGCCAAACGTCAGCCTCAAAATCTTAATGACTTGGAGAAGATCTGCAAAGAGGAGTGGGACAAAATCCCTCCTGAGATGTGTGCAAACCTGGTGGCCAACTACAAGAAACGTCTGACCTCTGTGATTGCCAACAAGGGTTTTGCCACCAAGTACTAAGTCATGTTTTGCAGACAGGTCAAATACTTATTTCCCTCATTAAAATGCAAATCAATTTATAACATTTTTGACATGCGTTTTTCTGGATTTTGTTGTTGTTATTCTGTCTCTCACTGTTCAAATAAACCTACCATTAAAATTATAGACTGATCATGTCTTTGTCAAAATCAGCAGGGGATCAAATACTTTTTTTCCCTCACTGTAGCACCCTGCACCCTATATGGGCCCTGGTCAAAAGTAGTGCACTACATAGGGAATAGGGCGCAATTTGGTACACACTGTGAAACCGCAACGTACCTGGTGCGAAGGCAAACATGGCAAAGGACTCCCCTGAGGAGGCCAGGGCGGTGACCAAGGATCTCCTTCTGTTGAAGTACTGAGACAGCAGGGTGACAGTGGGGAGGAAGGCCAGGCAGTACCCCAGACCTGGACACATTACAAATGACAACAGATGTTATTGTTCACGCAATCTGGAAATCACATGACTGACATCAAACCAAACAACATTAAAACACCATCACAGGAGTACCTTTTCATCAAGATCATTTCAAATCAAGTTTACAAAGTGAATACAGTCACTGTGCAAAATGCTGTTGACGGTTTCACGTTTCAATCCATGTCTTAGACATGTACACATCATTGGTCCAGCAGAGGACACACAGAGGGGCGTGACAGCCACCGGCACTGCAGCAAGGTCAGGGGTCAGAGGTCATGGGTCAGAGATCAGGGTTGACAGGTCACTCTGATGTCAGAGGTCAGGGTTGACAGGTCACGCTCGGGCTTGTTGTCATGACGACTACTGAAAGAGGACGCAGTTAAAGACAAAAACAAGGAGAAAGAAGACAGAGGTCGTTAAGTTAGCTGCTGTCTGTTTTAAAGGAAGGTGACGAGTTATTTACTGGGACAGCTAGCAGTGCTTCGTTCTGTAAAAGAAAAGTTATTTGGATCGGATCTGAAAGGAAATATTGGTTTATTTTGGACAATTTGGGAATTGTTCTTTTCTGTTGTGTCAATCTGTCCTACAGACTCAAGATGGGGGAGTTTAGGCCTCATTGATACCACAGGTTTCATTGATATGTTTAGATGTGAATTGAATACAGCTTTGACAGTGGGGTTGGAGGTTATTCTATTTATCCCACAAACATAAGCCAGGTCTGAAAGAGACAGACATCAGTCAGCCTCATGCACTGCTAGGAGTCCCTTGTTTCATTCATATGTTTTCAGCTGGAATTGTAAGCATGAATGTAAAAGCTAAAGATCATTATTCTCCTTACATGTTCAAGGTTTTTCTAATGAATTCCACATATGTATCACAAGATAGACCATTGCAGGAAGCGTGAAGTAGTGGTGTGTGTGTGTGTGTGTGTGTGAGCGTAAAGTAGGTTAGATAGTTACCCGAGACGATGCCGAGGGTGACGTACATCTCGTAGATGGAGGAGACGAAGGCAGAGCTGATGGTTCCCACACTGATCAGAAAACCCCCCAACATCACTACAGGACGGTACCCGAACCGGTTACTGAGCACTGTGGACAGAGGGGCTGGAGAGAGAGAGGAGTGAGGAGAGAGAGGAGAGAGAGAGAGGAGAGAGAGGAGAGAGGGGGATAGGAGAGGAGAGAGGAGAGAGAGAGAGAGGAGAGAGAGAGAGAGAGGAGAGAGAGGAGAGAGAGGAGAGAGGGGGATAGGAGAGGAGAGAGGAGAGAGAGAGAGGGGGATAGGAGAGGAGAGAGAGAGAGAGAGAGAGAGGGGAGAGAGAGAGAGAGGAGAGAGAGGAGAGAGGGGGATAGGAGAGGAGAGAGGGAGAGAGAGAGGGATAGGAGAGGAGAGAGGAGAGAGGGAGAGAGAGAGGGATAGGAGAGGAGAGAGGAGAGAGAGAGAGAGAGAGAGAGGAGAGAGAGGGGGATAGGAGAGAGAGAGGAGAGGAGAGAGAGAGGACCGTTAGTTTTACTACAGAGTACAGACATGTTTTTCATTTACCTTATACACTATTTAATGAAGTAGTTGATTGACACACAGGGGGTTCAGTGAGTAGGACAGATTATGTGTCCAAATACTGTTCACATAGCTTTACTGGCCTGTGAAGAAAGATGAAGATGCTCTCTCTGACCCACCTGTGAAGAAAGATGAAGATGCTCTCTATGACCCACCTGTGAAGAAAGATGAAGATGCTCTCTCTGACCCACCTGTGAAGAAAGATGAAGATGCTCTCTCTGACCCACCTGTGAAGAAAGATGAAGATGCTCTCTCTGACCCACCTGTGAAGAAAGATGAAGATGCTCTCTATGACCCACCTGTGAAGAAAGATGAAGATGCTCTCTATGACCCACCTGTGAAGAAAGATGAAGATGCTCTCTATGACCCACCTGTGAATGTAAGGATGAAGATGCTCTCTCTGACCCACCTGTGAATGTAAGGATGAAGATGCTCTCTCTGACCCACCTGTGAATGTAAGGATGAAGATGCAGATTGCGATGACCCAGGATACTCTGCTGTTGCTCTCTCCAAACTCTGTCATGAGGTCCTGGAGGAACACTCCCAGAGACTTGATGGTCCCGAAGGTAAACACCTCAACGAAGAAGAAGGCCACTGCCACCGCCCAGCCCCAGCCCCCGTCTGGCACCGCCTCGTACACACATGGACCCCCGCACCCCCCGGGCCCCCGCACCGCTGACTTTAACCCCCGCATGGCTGGGTCTCAGCACCTGGGAGAGACGGAGAGAGAGATGAGTAGAGGGTTAGACACACAGACGCAAAAAAGATACCGGTACGTATGTATGTGTGTGTGTATGTATGTGTGTGTGTGTGTGTGTGTGTGTGTGTGCATTCGGAAAGTATTCAGACCCCTTGACTTTTTCCACATTTTGTTACGTTACAGCCTTATTCTAAAATAGATTAAATTGTTTTTTTTCCCTCATCAATCTACACACAATACCCCGTAATGACAAAGCAAAAACAGGTTTTTGGATTTTTTTGCAAATGTATAAATAAATAAAAACGGAAATATCACATTTACATCAGTGTTCAGACCCTTTACTCAGTACTTTGCTGAAGCACCTTTGGCAGTGATTACAGCCTCAAGTCTTTTTGGGTGTGACACTACAAGCTTGGCACACCTCTATTTGGGGAGTTTCTCCCATTTTTCTCTGCAGATCCTCTCAAGCTCTGTCAGATTGGATGGGGAGCGTCGCTGCACAGCTATTTTCAGGTCTCTCCATCGTGTTCAAGTCCGGGCTCTGGCTGGGCCACTCAAGGACATTCAGTTCAGAGAGTTGTCCCAAAGCCACTCCTGCGATGTCTTGGCTGTGTGCTTAGGGTTGTTGTCCTGTTGGAAGGTAAACCTTCGCCCCAGTCTTAGGTCCTGAGCGCTCTGGAGCAGGTTTTCATCAAGGATCACTCTGTACTTTGCTCCGTTCATCTTTCCCTCGATCCTGACTAGTCCCTGCCGCTGAAAAACATCCCCACAGCATGATGCTGCCACCACCATGCTTCACTGTAGGGATGGTGCCAGGTTTCCTCCAGACGTGACGCTTAGCATTCAGGCCAAAGAGTTCAATCTTGGTTTCATCAGACCAGATAATCTTGTTTCTCATGGTCTGAGAGTCTTTAGGTGCCTTTTGGCAAACTCCAAGTGGGCTGTCATGTGCCTTTTACTGAGGAGTGGCTTCCGTCTGGCCACTCTACCATAAAGGCCTAATTGGTGGAGTGCTGCAAAGATGGTTGTCCTTCTGGAAGGTTCTCCCACCTCCACAGAGGAACTCTAGAGCTCTGTCAGAATGACCATCGGGTTCTTGGTCAGCTCCTTGACAAAGGCCCTTCTCCCCCGATTGCTCAGTTTGTCCGGGCGACCAGCTCTAGGAAGAGTCTTGAAGGTTCCAAAATTCGTCCATTTAAGAATGATGGAGGCCACTGTGTTCTTGGGGACCTTCAATGCTGCAGAAATGTTTTGGTACCCTTCCCCAGATCTCTGCCTCGACACAATCCTGTCTCTGAGCTCTACGGACAATTCCTTCGACCTCATGGCTTGGTTTTTGCTCTGACATGCACTGTCAATTGTGGGACCTTATATATATATATATATATACCACAGGTTGACTACAATCAAGTTGTAGAAACATTTCAAGGATGATCAATGGAAACAGAATGCACCTGAGCTCAATTTCGAGTCTCATAGCAAAGGGTCTGAATACTTATGTAAATAAAGTATCTGTTTTTTGTTTATAATAAATTAGCAAACATTTCTAAAAACCTGTTTTCGGTTTGTCCTTATGGGGTATTGTGTGTAGATTGCTGAGGAAACTGTTTTACTTAATCCATTTTAGAATAAGGCTGTAACGTAACAAAATGTGGAAAAAGTCAAGGTGTCTGAATACTTTCCAAAGGCACTGTATGTATGTATGTATGTATGTATGTATGTATGTATGTATGTATGTATGTATGTATGTATGTATGTATGTATGTATGTATGTATGTATGTATGTATGTATGTATGTACAGTACCAGTCAAAAGTTTTAGAACACCTACTGATTCAAGGGTTTTTCTTTATTTGTACTATTTTTTACATTCTAGAATAATACTGAAGACATCAAAACTATGAAATAACACATATGGAATCATGTAGTAACCAAAAAAGAAGTGTTACACAAATCAAAATATATTTTATATTTGAGATTCTTCAAATAGCCACCCTTTGCCTTGATGACAGCTTTGCATACTCTTGGCATTCTCTCAACCAGCTTCATGAGGTAGTCACCTGGAATGCATTTACATTAACAGGTGTTCCTTCTTAAAAGTTAATTTGTGGAATTTATTTCCTTCTTAATGCATTTGAGCCAATCAGTTGTGTTGTGACAAGGTAGTGGGGGTATACCACTGCTCCCGAGCGGCCCAGCGGTCTAAGGCACTGCATCTCAGTGGTCTAAGGCACTGCATCTCAGTGGTCTAAGGCACTGCATCTCAGTGGTCTAAGGCACTGCATCTCAGTGGTCTAAGGCACTGCATCTCAGTGGTCTAAGGCACTGCATCTCAGTGGTCTAAGGCACTGAATCTCAGTGGTCTAAGGCACTGCATCTCAGTGGTCTAAGGCACTGCATCTCAGTGGTCTAAGGCACTGCATCTCAGTGGTCTAAGGCACTGCATCTCAGTGGTCTAAGGCACTGCATCTCACCCTGCATCTCAGCGGTCTAAGGCACTGCATCTCAGTGGTCTAAGGCACTGCATCTCAGTGCTTGAGGCGTCACTACAGACCCCCTGGTTCAATTCCAGGCTGTATCACAACCCGCCGTGATTGGGAGTCCCATAGGGCGGCGCACAATTGGCCCAGCGTCGTCCGGGTTTGGCCGGTGTAGGCCGTCATTGTAAATAAGAATTTGTTCTTTACTGACTTGCCTAGTTAAATAAAGGTTAAATAAAAAAAATAGCCCTATTTGGTAAAAGACTAAGTCCATATTATGGCAAGAACAGCTCAAATAAGCAAAGAGAAACGACAGTCCATCATTACTTTAAGACATGAAGGTCAGTCAATACGCAACATTTTAAGAACTTTGAAAGTTTCTTCAAGTGCAGTCGCAAAAACCATCAAGCGCTATGATGAAACTGGCACTCATGAGGACCACCACAGGAATGGAAGACCCAGAGTTACCTCTGCTGCAGAGGATACGTTCATTAGAGTTACCAGCCTCAGAAATTGCAGCCCAAATAAACGCTTCACAGAGTTCAAGTAACAGACACATCTCAACATCAACTGTTCAAAGAAACCACTACTAAAGGACACCAATAAGAAGAAGAGACCTGCTTGGGCCAAGAAATACGAGCAATGGACATTTGTAGTTTGGTCTGGAGTCCAAATTTGAGATTTTTGGTTCAAACCGCCGTGTCTTTGTGAGACACGGTGTGGGTGAACGGATGATCTCTGCATGTGTAGTTCCCACCGTAAAGCATGGTGGAGGAGGTGTGATGGTGTGGGGGTACTTTGCTGGTGACACTGTCTGTGATTTATTTAGAATTCAAGGCACGCTTAACCAGCATGGCTATCACAGCATTCTGCAGCGATATGCCATCCATAGACTGTTTTATATGGAACTGGTTCATAGACTGACTGTTTTATATGGAGCTGGTTCATAGACTGACTGTTTTATATGGGGCTGGTTCATAGACTTACTGTTTTATATGGGGCTGGTTAACAGGCTGACTGTTTTATATGGGGCTGGTTCATAGGCTAACTGCTTTATATGGAGCTGGTTCATAGACTGACTGTTTTATATGGGTGGTCCTCTGTAGCTCAATTGGTAGAGCACGGCGCTTGTAACGCCAGGGTAGTGGGTTCGATCCCCGGGACCACCCATACACAAAAATGTATGCACGCATGACTGTAAGTCGCTTTGGATAAAAGCGTCTGCTAAATGGCATATTATTATTATTATTTATATGGCGCTGGTTCATAAACTGTTTTATATGGAGCTGGTTCATAGACTGACTGTTTTATATGGGGCTGGTTCATAGACTGACTATTTTATATGGGGCTGGTTCATAGACTGACTATTTTATATGGGGCTGGTTCATAGACTGACTGTTTTATATGGAGCTGGTTCATAGACTGACTGTTTTATATGGGACTGGTTCATAGACTGACTGTTTTATATGGGACTGGTTCATAGACTGACTGTTTTATATGGGCTGGTTAATAGACTGACTGTTTTATATGGGGCTGGTTCATAGACTGTTTTATATGGGCTGGTTAATAGACTGACTGTTTTATATGGGGCTGGTTCACAGACTAACTGTTTTATATATGGATCTGTTTCATAAACTGACTGTTTTATATGGGGCTGGTTCATAGACTGTTTTATATGGAGCTGGTTCATAGACTGACTATTTTATATGGGGCTGGTTCATAGACTGACTATTTTATATGGGGCTGGTTCATAGACTGACTGTTTTATATGGAGCTGGTTCATAGACTGACTGTTTTATATGGGACTGGTTCATAGACTGACTGTTTTATATTGGACTGGTTCATAGACTGACTATTTTATATGGGGCTGGTTCATAGACTGACTGTTTTATATGGGGCTGGTTCATAGACTGTTTTATATGGGCTGGTTAATAGACTGACTGTTTTATATGGAGCTGGTTCATAGACTGTTTTATATGGGCTAGTTAATAGACTGACTGTTTTATATGGGGCTGGTTCACAGACTAACTGTTTTATATATGGATCTGTTTCATAAACTGACTGTTTTATATGGAGCTGGTTCATAGACTGTTTTATATGGGGCTGGTTCATAGACTGACTATTTTATATGGGGCTGGTTCATAGACTGACTGTTTTATATGGGACTGGTTCATAGACTGACTATTTTATATGGGGCTGGTTCATAGACTGACTGTTTTATATGGGGCTGGTTCAT